AACAATAGGGAAGATGCACATTTAATATTTTTAAATTTTTTGGGATTAAAATGTTAAAGAATCATAAAAAATTGGCCACTGCAACATTTTTATTTTGTTTTATATAGATTTTTAACAAATATTACGGATTAAAGTAACGTGAAACGGAACGTTTTTTAAAACGCCAATCAGCGTCTATTGACGTCATTCCTGTTTTGACAGCTTATATAGGTTTTGTTTTTATAAAGGCTTTTTTGCGAAATTTAATTGTATTTTTGAATAAAAATGGAGATTCGGATTATAAAAGCAGACTCCAGGAATTTACCGGATGTTAGTGTTGATATGGTTATAAATGTTTTTGTTGAAAGTGCAGAGTTTTCAAGTGTAGAAATGAAAGGGATTAAAATGTTACGGTATGTATAAATCACAGTGAGACTTTGTATTTCATTCAGCAGCTTCTACATTTAGCTGTTATTTCAGTTTAACAAGGCAATTTTGTGGCTACAGCGCTATCGGTTATGTCCAAATCAAAACAGATGGAGATGACGTCGGAAAATATTAACATGGTTTTTTCCCATTGTGGTTTGAGTTAAGGTAGTATAGATTCTAATATAGTTTTATTTATATACTCATTTTATGTATTTACAAAAGGAAATTTTCATACATACATAGCATAAACTAAAGTCGGTTAAAAAATTATATAAGTAAAAAGTATGCATTTTCTATTTTTACAGGTATGGAAGGATCACTGGCTCAATTCTTTATGAAGTTGCTCACCGCAAAAGTAAAATTGGTTCTCTACTGATCAAAATTATGTGGGCACGATCAAAGTTTACTTCCATTGCAATGGCTAGAGGGAAAAAATATGAACAGTTTTGGGCACAAGTTCAGCTTAAAAAGTTATTCAGCAGAAGAAAAAAAATGCAATTTTCGTGGCAAAGCCAAATTTTGAAAAATCTAAAGAAGTACATGTGTATTATGCACCATATCGGTTTTGGATGCTGCAATGAAGTTCTGGGTAGATGCTATATTCCCAAAATATTATATATTAATTTAATTTACTTAATTTTTCTCAAATTTTTTGATAAACGTATAAAATAAAACCCTGTTTTTTAATACAGCTTTTTATTCAATTTTAATTAAGGTTGATTGTAAATTGACACAAGCACAATAAATGATCATAGCATAGTCTATGTTGGGGGATAAAAAAATGGTGTTAGAAAAACAAACTCATGCAGTCTTCTGATCTCTCTGTCAATGTGAATCGGTAGGTTTGCATTTTTTTTCGACCTTAACAATCCTTCTTCGAACTTTAACTATTTGGGAATTTTTTAGGTTAGGTTAGGCACGAAACACGCATCAACATGGATTTTTTTTGAAACAGTGGTGGCATTGTGATGATTGCCTGATGTTGATAGATAGTTCATTTTTTATTTATTTTACTTTGGGGTATTTATTTAAAAAAATAATAATAAATTTCTAGAAAGTCAAAACTTAAGCGTTGAAATAGAGAGACAAATTATTTGGCAAATGACAGACATGAGTGACGTCATCGCAATTTTAGATCCGTTATCGCGCGAAAATTCAAATCATCAATTTGAAACCGCATTTTTTTTACAATAAATTACAGTATTTTAATTTAAAAAAAAAAAACACATTTTTTTTACAATAAATTACACTAGTGGTCTATTCTGTTGATTGGTAATCTCAGATTATACATACTCTTTTGATATACTCTCTATACTATTTGATTTATGTATTATGTTTGAATTACTTTAAATTTGGAATGTTAATTTTTTTTGTTCAGACTGAATTTTGTCATAATTGATCGATTCCGTTGAAATCGTTTGGAGAAGTAACATAAAATCCATAATGATTCCGTTTCACAATGTTAAAGTTTAAATAAATAGTTTTCTAATCAGTCTTTGAGTGTATTTTTGGGTTTGAAGTGATCCCATTAGCCACATCTGCCATTCAAGATATTCTACATGAAATCCATTCGAATAAAACCAAAAATGAAAATATTGCATCTTCCCTATTGCTGCCGATTAGATTTGATATCTCAATCCATAATGATTAATTATTATGAAGATTGATGATGAGAGAAGTGTGCTGTTGTGTCGTAGTGTTCCCTGGTCGGTTCCGTGGTCAATCAGCTATTAGTCACTTGATCGGCTTGACACGCCGTAATTAAGGTCGGGTTGCACCCGGCGGCACTGCGATACAGCCCCGCAAATATACCGACGGACTCATAACATGCATCAAATTTCTAAAAGATTTCCAAATGAATACTTTCACTGAATAAACAAACTTTGTAGATTAATTTAATAAATAGAAAAACTTTGTAGATATTAAAAAAAACAAATTCAAGACTGTAACGGTCAGGAAACAAACGACTAAAGCCGAGAGTATGGGCAATGATTTAAAAATTCTTTTATTTCTACGAATAGAATTATTGTTACTGATTGTTGATTATTAGACATAGACATAAACTTTATTTTGACAAGCAACAAATAGCAAAAAAAAAAAAAAAAACAAATGACAAACATAATAAATTATTATTATTACTTAGTCTGTGTTATCATCGAGTCTTATATAACGTCATATACACACAAATTGAAGCATTAGTGCAGGAAGGCTTGGATCAAAGAATGTGTACTAGAAATTTAATTATAAGCAAATCTACGATTTGTCAGCTTATACAAAAGTTTTCTAGGGACAGATTCTTACAGAAGAAAAAGACTGTGATACCGTCAAAACTCAATTTACTATCCCTCGTGATGATCGGTTAATTTCGACAAGTTCTCCGTGTCTGTCTTCTCTTCTTCATTATACAAGAGCCCATGGATATTTGCAACACCCGTAGGGTTGCAGATGCGTTGCCGCCTTTTAATAAAGTGGGCCCCGGCTACCTCACTGACCATACGAAACGCAGAAGTGTAACACTTTCACTTCATGCCGATCTTCTGTGAGGTTGTGGTACTTACCCGGACGGACCTGACCATTTGTGCAACACTGTAGCGTGGCCCTACCGCGTTACATTGTTGTTACGTTGACGTTCGCTTGGACGCTGCATTTGCGGTCACCTCAATTAACTTCCACACGAGATAAATTGGCCGCTATCGATCGGGACACATGGCCACTGGTTGGGTTGGTTGAGACGGTCAATTACGGTTATATTAATGCATCGGTCGCGCCCCCAGTAACCACGCTCATTGTCCATCATTGATCAGAGTTTTTAGGGTCCCATACTCAAAGAGTAAAACGGAACCCTATAACTAAGACTCCGCTCCGTATGTCCGTCCGTCTGTCACGAGGCTGTATCTCATGAGATAAAAATCTCATGGGTTAAAAAAAGACAGACGTTTCTCAATTCGACCGTATATACAGCGTGTCATTACAACCGCGACAATAAATGTACACACGTCTAACGCTACTTGCCATTAATCATACAAAATATAAAACGTTAAAAAATCCATAATTAAAAATATATATTTTTTTAAACAAACTAATTAAAAAAAAAAGAAACAAAATTTGTAACACCTATACAACTACAACTGACTGATTCATACATTTTTCATTCGTTGACACAACATTGCAATACAAGTCTCTTCTTCTAACAGTATGTTTTTTCTCTTTTAAATTCATTCAACCCTTTCATATGTTTTGAGATCTATACAAATGAACTTTACGTTACAGTTTTATACGTGTGTTCCAAAAATGTTTGTTTTGTAAAATTTTAATAACTCGGTAAATATTGATGTTTAAAGAATCTAAATGCTTAATACAATTTTAAAAAGTTATCTATATGTGTGTTCATTTATTGTCGCGGTTGTAACGACACGCTGTATATATATATATATGTTTGCGGACAACCTGGTCATTTATGAACCGATTTTGATGATTCTTTTTTTGTTGGAAAGGAGATATAACCCAAAGGTGGTACCATGATAAGGAAATCCGGTATTAACAAAATTTTTAGTTTCCTGGTTGAAGTCGGTTTTTTTTTGTTAAAATGGTACGGAGCCCTCCGTGCGCGAGCCCGACTCGCACTTGGCCGTTTTTTTTTTCGTACATTCCAACGATCGAGCACTTCGAACAATCCTCGCCCATTACGGCTTCTACTCGCTAAAGTGCCCCTCTGCCGATTGGTCGTTCGTCAATTGCACGCACTTGTCGTATTGTTTATTACGCGCGGGCGTCTTGTCATTTAACTTAGCACGATTTGCCGCTATCGAATACCGCGAAACAACGACAATTTACATAATGTGACTTTTTAAATAAAAATAATCGAACCGTTCAAGACTGTGACGTTTAGAAAGACACGATCCAAGGAAATTGCCCAACCTAAGAATGGAAATTGACACGGTACAGGAAGATTTTCTGTCTTTATTAAAGTTTTCGATTGGTAATGTTTTTCTTTTCCATAAATCTATCGTAGGCAGTGTCATAATAAGCTGTCAACCATTTCGACAAAAACAAAAACAACTTTCGAAAATTAAATTCGCAGTTGAAAATACAAAGGAATTTAATTTACGCGTATGCGTAAAAATTAATCCTAAATTTTTAAGTGCAATGGCGACATCTCTCGTTCCATACTGTATTCTCCTTTGTATTCTGTAAAGTATGCACAGTAGATGGCGCCAAGCATTGCTAAGAATGCAATAGAAAAGAACGTAGATAGATATCGAGATTTTCGCGCCGTTAGTTTAGTTGGTAAGGCGTCTAGTCGCGAAACCAGAAGACGCAGGTTTATTTATTTATTTAAATTACCTACACCTTACGCTAAGGGCAACCATGGGCGAACTTAATGCCTAGTGGCTACCGGTCAACCCGTCAGAAGGCAGGCGCTAAACGAAGATTATAAAAAAACAAGTTAATAAATTTGCGTTAATAATCGACAACATGGCCAACTAAATGTAAAAATAATAATAGGTCTATAAATAGGTTCGGATCACGCAACACAGAAAGTTTTTGGTAAAGATTTACATCGCTAACTGGATCAATTGCGTTGTCCACAGCATGAGGTCGCGGCGGTGGTGTGGTGTCCGCATGGAAGGAAGGCGGACCGGTGAGCGAGTTCTGCCCAAACAGGCGCAGTTCCGCCGCGTCTCGTCGGGATGGACCGCTCGCGCCATTCGCCGCCGCCGGAGCCCGCGCACAGTCGGCCGCTCGAAGGAGGTGCCCTCGAAACCGATACAGCTGCCCCGCCAGCGGCGGCGCTAAGCGGGCCGGAGCCAGAGCGGCCCCTCGCCCGCGTCCTGCCCCCCATCCCGGAGAGCGAGCCCCTGCTTACTAGCGCCAACGCCGACGCCGCGCGCAAGCTCAACGGGCGGCCCCTGCACGTGCAGTTCGGCGCACCGCCGCCAAACGCCAAGGTGTCCGTATCGAGCTCCGGTTCCAGCTCCAGTTCGGACGATGAGGAGCTCTCCGACGCCAAGGCGCGGCCGCTGGATGGCGGCTGGGGCTGGGTGGTCGTCTTCGCCTCGTTCATGGTCAACCTCATCGCGGACGGCATCACCTTCAGCTTCGGCGTGTTCTATCCGCACTTCCTGGAGTACTTCGGCGCTAGCAAGAGCAAGACCGCGTGGATCGCGAGCATCTTCATGGCGATGCCGCTCCTCTCCGGCCCCTTCGCCAGCTTCCTGACGGACAGATACGGCTGCCGTCGCATGACAGTAGTGGGCTCCGTTATGGCCTCCCTCGGATTCGTCATGTCTGCGTTCGTGGACAATGTCGAAACGCTGTTCTTCACGTTCGGCATCATGGCCGGATTCGGGCTGAGCTTGTGCTTCGTGGCGGCCGTCGTGATCATAGCCTATTACTTCGAGAAGAAACGCTCCCTGGCCACCGGCATCTCGGTGTGCGGCAGCGGCATCGGGACGTTTATTTTCGCCCCGTGCACGTGCGCTCTGCTCGACGAGTACGGGTGGCGCGGCACCACGTTGATCCTGGCCGGGTTGTTCCTGAACATGGCCGTGTGCGGCTTGATGTTCCGCGACCTGCCCTGGACCATGACGATGAACGAGGAGAAGGCAAAAAAGAGGAAGCGCAAAAGGGAGAGGAAGCGGAACCGGCGTTTGGCGGCCGCGTCCGCCGCCGATAGTTGTTCCGACAGCAAGGGCAGCGCCGCCGGGTCGACGAGGGCGGCAGAGGCCGGCGACGGCGAGGCGGTCCCCTCCGCGATAGCGCCGCGATACAGTTCCGTGGTCGACTTGCCCACGTACATGACCGGCGAAGAGGGCGTCTCCAGCGAAGTGTTCGAGCTGATGTCCAACAAGGCGCGCGCGTACGCGATGATGGCGCACAGCTACCGCGGCGTGATGCTGCCCTCGAGGAGTTTCAGCGACAGTGGCCGCCTCCACGAGCAGTCCCCGACCAGGGCGGCGATGTCGCCGCGGGCTCTATCGCCGTCCTCGGCGCCGCCCCACGAAAGCGAGGGTCCCGAAGTGACCCTCAACGACAAAGCCGTGAGCGCCTGGCTGGGACGCCATGGCGGCGCGAAGAAACCACCGGCCTCACTGAAGGACCTCAAGATCCACGGGGACTCGTTGACTTACCGGGGCGCCATGTTGAACATAAACCGCTACAGGCTGCGCTCCTCCTCGTGCCCAAACATCTTCAGGAACTCCATGACCACCGCTGCTAAGGAGAAGGTGAGAATTGCCCGTGTTTTTTCTTAGATTGATTTCATTTTCAAGCGGCTTCAAAAAACGAGGAGGTTCTTAATTCGACTTTATTTTTCTGCTGAGCGAACCGATTTCTATGATTTATTTTATTTTTATTTTATTTATTTGGTTTACCAGCTATTGTTAGAAGTAGTATATAGTATATTTCTATAGCTATATGCACAAGTAATTAAAGGTAAACACCACATGCAAAGTATGACCGACGACCCGAATGGCGTGGTCGGTAGTGTACCTGCCTTCTGCGCCAGAGGATGTGGGTTCGATCCCCACCACTGTAAAAATATTGTGTGATGAGCATAGTGCCTTTCTAGTGACTAGGTGTTTTATATATGTTAAATGTGTATTTATTTACAAAAGAAAAGTATGTTTAAGTATGTCTATCAGTTTTCTAGTAGCCATAGTACAAGCGTCGCTCAGTTTGGGACTAGAGAACGTTGTGTAAAAAATGTGTCCTAAAAATATTTTATTTATTTATATCGTGTACAGAATACAATATAAAAATATATTTCTGTGAAATAACCTGTATGAGATATTTTATCAATCTTTTAAATTATTGTACCGTAGTCATAATATTAATCATACAAAGATTTTAAGAAAAAAAAACAGTGTAATTTATTATTAATTATATTAATACATTTGAATAATAACAGAATTAAGGTAAGGTGTATTGTCCGAAAAATAGTAATCATCAGATGAGCGTATTATGTATTACAATAAAGTTGTTTCTACAAGGCAGACAACGTAATTACACTGAATATAATAGGCCTTAGCATCTATGACAGATGATTTAAGTAGCATTTACGCTCGTGGCTGAAGAGGCCAATCCTCGTTGTTCGGGGTTGGCAGTTCGGTCGTGGCGCCCTATACGCTTTTTCTTTAAGAGATCAAACCAAGTTTTGTCGTGCTTTGATTGGCCTTCTTGAACAAGTTTACACCATTTGCCTCGATCTGCTGAAAGCTCTTCCCATTAATGGGTTGGGATGTTAAATGCGATCATATCGCGCTTGACGCAGTCCTTGAAGCGCAACATAGGTCGCCCAATGGGCCTTTTTGCGTCTGCAATCTCTCCAAGTAGAATTTGCCTCGGCAAGTGATTCCGTTCCATGCGATGCACATGCCCAAGCCACTTAAGCCTTCTCTGTTTGAGGGTGGTTGTGATACTGGGAAGTTGCGCCGTACATAGAACAGACTCGTCTGTGATGTAGTCTCTCCAGGTAAGGCCTAGTATGCTTCGAAGACAGCGCATGTGGACAGTGTTCAGTGGACGTTCTTGCTTTGCGTATGTCGTCCAGGATTCCGCTCCGTACAAAAGTGTGCTTAGAACGCACGCTTGGTAAACAAGCATCTTCGTTTTTAACGTAAGATGCTTGTTGTCCCAAGCCCTAGAACGGAGCTTCCCGAACGTGGTGGCCGCTTTGCCGATGCGGGAATCGATCTCTGCATGAAGCGAGAGATTGCTCGACACTTGCGAACCTAGGTAGCAGAACTTACTGACCACCTCCAGTGGAGCGCCGTGCAGCAGAATCACCGGAGGCTCTGAATTTCCTTGCGCTAAAATTACAGCCTTCTTAGCGTTTATAGACATTGAGAAGAAGTCACATGCTCTGGCAAATTTGTCCATCAATCTCTGCAGCTTGGCTTGATCGTTAGAGACGAAGGCAGCGTCATCAGCAACGAGGAGGCTGTCAACAAAGAGCTCCTCTCTGTGGCGCTTGGACTTGAGCAGAGAGATACTGTACAGCCTACAATCGGATCGTGAATTACACTGAAGTATCTACAATAAATTATGTTCGCATCGATATAAGCGTTTATACTTGTGTCTTACACTAGAGATTCTGCCAAGTTTGAATTTATATATGCTTGTCAGTAGGACTTACTTATTCGTAGGCTACGTAAGTAAGTTTGTTCACGCTATCGGGGGCCCATTCCAGGCGCGATGGTACGAGGGCCTGTGGGGCATCTGGGACCTGGCCGCTGACGTGCTTGACCTGTCGCACTTCAAGAGCCCCTCCTTCCTCGTGTTCGCCATCTCCAACTTCCTGCTGTACATGTGGTACGACGTTCCCTACGTGTACATAACGGACCACGGGATGAACTTGGGCTTCGACGAGTCGAAGGCCTCCATGCTAATCTCGTTCATCGGCATCCTCAACATGCTCGGCGAGGTAGGTGACTTTGTTGTTACTCTTTCTTTCACAGTAATACGCTCTGGAGTTGGAGGGCTTTTATTGACTTATTCGATTGTTCTTTGAACGAGTTTGGGACGGACTGACTTGGGAATTTTCTGGCTAAATTTTGGGGCAAAAAAAAATTTTACTGGAAGTTTTTTAAGAGGTAAATTCAAACCGAAACGTCCCAAACGTTTCTAGTTTAGGAAGCTTTGGACGGCGGTAACTTAATGGTTGTAACTTACTCTTAGTGAACCGCCAGCCTAGGCACATTGCTGAAGTAGGGCTGTCTCTCAGATCCTACCAGGTTGGGTCGGAGATTAGGAGTGTGTGAATCACAGCCTAGGCGCATTGCTGGAGTAGGGCTGTCTCTCAGATCCTACCACGTTGGGCGGAGATTACAAGTGTGTGAACACCAGCCTAGGCGCATTGCTGAAGTGGGGCTGTCTCTCAGATCCTGCTCGGCTGGATCGGGGACTGGGACAACGTGAACCCCATTCTGGTGTACGCCGGGTGCATGGTGCTCTGCGGGCTGGTGACCGTGGTGATGCCGCTGCTGTACTCGTACCTCGGGCTGGCGGTGGCGTCCGGCGCGTTCGGCGCCTTCATCGCCGCCAACTACTCGCTCACCAGCATCATCCTGGTGAAGCAGATCACCCTGGAAAGGTTCACGAACGCCTACGGGCTGCTGCTGCTCACGCAGGGCCTCGCGAACCTGGTGGGGCCGCCGCTCGCAGGTGCCTAGTTTTCTGCATACAAATTGAAATGTATTTCCATTCAATATAGAAGCGTTCGTTGTGGCGTTCTAAGGCGGAGGCCTATGTTCAACAGTGGACGTCTTGCGGCTGATGATGATGATGATGAGAAGCGTTACACTTACTTGTTGACTGTCAAAACCCTACCAACGGTTCGCAAAGAAAGATTCAATATTAACGATATAACTCCAGTTTCCACAGTAAATTTTATTAATTTATTTATTTTAACACTTTACATCTAGCATTACAGGAAAAAAATATCCTTACAATTTACCCGAATCCAATAAATATGATATATTTGCTTAAAACTAAATACAACTAATATCGTAACAAATAGTCAACGTTGCAACTCTTTTCATGACTGGATTGAGTTATTCGGCAACCACGCCAACAGTGTTTATTGCGCGATAAAAAAATAAAGTTTTGCCATTGCGCAATCGAAGCCGCCTTTAGGAGAAAAGGAGACGGAAGATCGCTCGTCACCGCCACTGAGGATGGGCGTTTCGCGTTCCAGGCTGGATCTACGACATAACGGATTCTTACGACCTGTCCTTCTACTTGGGGGGCGTGTTCATCGGAATGTCGGGGCTCGTTCTGCTGGTGGTGCCCTTCAGCGACGCCGCCAGGAGGTACTCGGGCCGGCGGGAGCGCGCGGGCCGGCTGCCACAGCTGCCACTCGTCGCCACCGCCGCCACAGATGCCACAGCTGCCACCGCCACCACCGAGACATCAATCGAGTTCGAAGACGAACTGCGAGGTGCGCAACGGTAAGCTCGTCTGGGCCTCGTCGATTTTAGCAGGACTGTTTGTCCAGTTTTGTCGCGTTTTAACGCAACATAGTGTAAGGGTGTGGATATAGCGTTCCGTATTAATTTAGTTGCCCGGTTGCGATGCAGCATGGTGCTACAACCGCGACCTTAAATGGACACAATGTAAAAGAATTACATAATTGCACAAAATAATTTACAAACAAACCAATTAAATAATAAAACAAAATTTGTAACATCCCTATACAACTACAACTGACTAATTCATACATTCAGAGACATTTTCATTCGTTCTCACAACGTAAGTCTCTCCTTCTAACAGTGTGTTTTATCTCTTTTAAATTCATTCAACCTTTTCATATGTTTTGAGATCTTTACACATGAACTTTACGTTACAGTTTTGTACGTACAAGCGTTCTAAAATTATTTCTTCTGGAAATTTTAACAACTCGGTAAATATTGATGTTTAAAGAAAGTAAATGTTTAGTACGATTTTAAAAAAGTCATCCCCTATATATATGTTGACTTATTGTCGCGGTAGTAGCGGCACGTTGTATACACAGTTTCACAGTTAACGTCAATGATATTTTAGTTCTACGATAACCGGAACACATTGTCTCACGGCACAAAAGGGACAGCGTAACTGAAGCAATAAGAAAAAAGAGGACGGCAAGTGTTTTTCACTTCGGCGTCAGTGTGAAAAATCTCGGGGTGAATCCGTCTTTCTCGTGTCCGTATAAAAATTATTTGCTGCCTCTTTCTTTGTTTTCTTACCTACGTATATTAAAATATGGCTAAGGTAAATAACAACGACTGTTATCGTGTACGTACATAGGTACAACACTCTTCAGAACTGAATTACGTCACTTATTTCTGAAGAGTTTCGAACCTATTATTAAGATTAAGCGATATTTAGCATTTCTATATCTATTTAAGTAACTATTTAAGTATTAATGATAAGCTGTGTTATCTATAATATACTACGCTGCCTGTATTACTTGCCTAATTTAGATTTAGCCACGCGAAATAATTTCCGCCTCTCGCACTGTGAAACACTGTCGCCTATTGATTTTCTACGCTGCTTTTCATATAATGTATTTTTAACCAATAGGATATATTCACGTTGTATTTAGACTTAAGTGAGCCGTTGCGAACGCATCGGCCGTTTGGAGAAGCAGGTTATTCGTAGTTGGTAATTTTGAAGCATTTAACGTCTAATGAGACGACAATTTCAATTTTTTCTCAACATATTAACCGTAGCTTATAAGTTTTGCTGACACAGCATCCGTAGCGTTTAAGGTGAGATTTACTCGCATACTTCCTGATGTAATATGCGGGATAAGCGTCGGCAGTTTCTAAGGGAACTTCGGCGTTTTAGAAATAAACATATTGTAATCCCATTTAGTAGTTTACTGATATTATAATAAACCAAAGACTCGCCGCAATGTATACTGAATGCGCGCAATATATAACCATAGATGTATAAACCGTGAGTTTCATTTATTGCACCCCACACTCGTCAATATCTCGTCAGATTTGCTCGTTCGTACTCGAGGCCTAGCTCCATTAATAATATTAAAAAGGATGTCTGTGTGTCAAATTGATCGACCGTCGTGTTATTTGGCACGTGGGAATCAACCTAAAAAGGCCTACTGAAACGAATGTAAATAATAAAACTATTTATTGCAAAACAAAAAAAAACAAATGATTAAATCCTGATATTTAATTGTAACACAAACGTAAAAACACAAAGTATGAGCCCTTCTCGGGGTATTTGAACATTTTCTTGACAATTGGACGTGACGTCATAGCAATCAACAGGGGCGCTAGGTCATTGTTTCTGGCACTAATGTTATGTAGGGGTGCCTAAAGTGAATAAATATATCGATATAAATAAAAATATCGATATCGGCTTCGATATATCGAAGAGAAAATATTTACTATCCATACTTTTAGACTTAAAATATTTGACACCTATGGACTCTGCGCAGCATTCGAATTGGAGAAAATATCGGTTTTCGATATTGAATGTTTTGTATCGATATATCGATATTTTTTCAGCATCCCTACTGTAATGGCTTGGCGTGGCGTGACGTGGCGTTACAATCGGCCTTCCTGCAACAATTGCTGCCACAAGGGGGCGTAAGGTTGAATACCTTAACTCTCTGGGAGGTCAAAAAGTACTTTCTCTAATTGGTCAGAATGCTAGCGCTGTCAGAGCGAGCGATGCTGCGATGCGAACATTTTTGTAACATAACAAACCGTTTATACTCCTAATTCTGTGCGTATCAATACAAAAAACTTACGATGTAAGACCTGAGCATAAGCCATCTAGATTTGCGCTAACTCTAGAAACCCTACCTGCTTGGGCCTGCCTCCATAGAACCAAATCAACCCATTTTGTAAGCACAACCACATTTTTGAGACGCTTATCGAAGTTGCGTCTCATAAACCGGTGGAATCGTTTATTATTGTTCAGTACCCAAAGGGTAAAACGGGACCATGCTTACAGATGATGTACCTATTTCTGCTGCCGCTATACACCCACGCTACAGACAGGATTTTTGCCGTTTTTATATATAACTAGCTGACCCGGCAAACGTTGTTTTGCGATATAAACAAAAAAGTGTTTGGGGTGGACCACCCTTGACATTTAGGGGGATGAAAAATAGACGTTGTCCGATTCTCCACCCTGGCCGACATGCACACAAAGTTTCACGAAAATCGGTCGAGCCGTTTCGGAGGAGTTCGATTACAAACACCGTGACACGAGAATTTCATATGTTAGATGGTACGGGACCGTTCGTGCGCGAATCAAACTTTCTCTCGGCTTGGTTAATACGCCCCATATAACGGTTGGCAGCCTGTTCGACCAACCATTGCCTTAAAAATTCTACAACAATGTAGATAAAGGCCGTTGAGAATTTCGTCGGTGTGGCAACCAATCAGTTTGGCTTAGAGTCGTGGGTTCGATTCCCACAGCGGCGAGAAACTTCGTTCCTTTTTTTCTAGAAATTTTAACAGTTATAACTTGTCCGTTGGCACCCAATTGCCTTTTAATGTATGTATGAATTGTTCATCGGTGGCGCACCTTTGTCATACCTGACAGTAACCGCTTTGCCGCGGTATGCATTTTATATGGTGGTAGGCCCACGCAACAGTGTGTTGTTGCACGAATGGCCGGTTTAGTACAACGATCTCACAGGAGGCCGGCGTAAAGTAAAAGTGTTGCACCTCTGCGTTTCGTCTGGTGAGTGAGGTAGCCGGGGCGCACTTTATTAAAAGGTGGCAACGCATCTGCAACCCTCCGGGCGTTGCAAATGTCCATGGGCGGCGGCTATCGTTTAACATCAGGTGAAACGCCAGATCATTTGCCACTTTCTCTCATAAAAAAAAATTAAAAACTGACCGTCCGTCGAGCGGCCTCATCGCTAATGCCCTGTTCAACCAAATTCAACGAACGGCCGTTAGTTACATAGCTTCGTAATTTTCATGACGACTTTTAGATTATGGGAACGCTAGTAACTCACTTTCCGCAGGTGATGCAACGGCTCGTAAGGAAAACGAGTCGTTTTGTTAATAGAGGAACTGCGCGCACACGCTTTTTATCTACAAGTCGTTATGAAAGTTACGAAGCTATGTTTTTAACATAGCTTCGCATCTGTTCGCTGTTATTAAAAGGTGGCAACGCTTTTGCAACCTAAGGTTGTTGAAATGTCCATGGGCGGCGGCTATCACTTACCATAAGGTAACCGCCAGCGCGCTTGCCATCTTATCGCATGAAAAAAATGTAACTAACGGCCGCTCGTTGAATATAGGAACCGGGCGTCGCGGCGATTTCTCCCAACCTCAGTTTGTGTTCGCGTCCACACAATGCATACTTCAGCCTCATTGTTCCGTCGCCGCTGAAGGAATGCGCGGAACTCGCCGGAACCACGTCCGGCGGTTTGTTTGCGCGAAACCGCTTCTTCGCCGCCGAGCGAAGTGTCGACGTTTATTAGCGCCTCGACTCGGCAGGAGCTCGGACCGGATCGCCACGATGGCGGCTAAGGTGGGGCTGGTCTTCAATCTCCTCGTGATGCTCCCGATTGCGAAGGTGCGTTTGTTTCTTTGGCCCTTTTTTTGAACTTGTACCTCTATAGGCGCCTCACGAAAAAATTTTGAGATGCCCGCTCATTTTTATAGATGGCATATTCTCAATCACATTCGCTCATTGCAGTTCCCAATTAAGAGTGTAGATGGCGCTTTCATAATTTTATTATTTATATCCTTTTTCCAGTCTTTTTATCATTTTATTGTAATTAATTATTTGCATGCAATTATTAACTATTTTAATGGTGTCAAAGAAGTATAACTTCTCAAACGCGTACATAAGTACACGCACCCAATTTTTATTTATTTATGCTTAATTGCTAACCTTAAGAAAAAAAGGTAACAAAGTGCGGACTTATGCCCAAAGGCATTCGCTACCAATCCCCAGTTTTTCCGCTATTCGAATACTTCATATTAAATGTGTATTGAATAGGTTTTACTCTCTAATTCCAATACCTTTATTAATAAAAAAGCATTACAATTACTTATTGATTGACAAAAAAACACTTCTGCCTGTTCGAAAAGCCACTGAACTGAGAAGAACCGGTGAAAGAAACTCAGCGGTGCATTTTTATACGTAACGTTACAAGAAAATAACAAAAATGTGTACAATATATTAAATTCGACTTGGAAAGAGCCTGGAGCGATCAATTTATTTACAGTGTGTTGTCATTCAAATAATCACTAATAAAAATAGCCAAAATTACTACGTAAGACTTTGAAAATATTTGCTAAGTAGTGAATAGCTGTTAATAATTATTATTGGTTCGTTGACTTGAGCTCAAACTTAGGCCACTGACATGTTTAACCCAATGTAACCCCGTTTGTTACAATCAATTTAAGATGTGTAACTATGCAACATTTTGGATTACAATGTGCTGAAATCACTCTGTTCAATCCGTCACTGTACATATTTTAGCCAAAATATTTACATATAAACATATTGCTGACATGTCTATTATGAATTTTTATTCATCTTACTAGGTATTATAATTTGACACTAATACGATTCTAATACTCACATTTGTGATCGTCCGTAATTTTTTTTACTTTTTTTTGTGATAAAAAAACATTGCCCTTACTTTAGGATAACATTATCCTGTGTTGTAGGGACGTCTTTACAAACATAAATGTCACGCGGACAAACCCAGATACGAAACAACTACCTGTGGGTTACACAAATAGTTGTCCCGTGTGGGAATCGAACCCACGACCCCCGACGCCGAAGCCAATACCTTGGCAACTGTGCCACGGAGTCATGTTTATACTGTTTAAGATAATTACATTTAATGCGTTCATTATGGGCTTCTAGTGCTTTACATTAATTGAAGAAGGTTGCCACGAATGTTTAAGTTTATACCTTACCAATTTTTTTGGGTCAAAACTCCTTTTACGCGTTATATAAGGAATGGGAATTATGATGAGACAGTCTATATTTTTTTTAGATATTTGAATTTATCAATAAAAACTAACATAATTTGTCTTATTCTGTTAAGTTTTTTGATAAATTGTATGTTGATACGTAAATGGATTTATCTTTATTCACCATTTAAATATGAGGTCATAATCAATTGAAGATTTCGTTTAAAAGAAAATACTTAATTAATTTGCTCCTTATATTTTTACTGGTAGTTTTCACAAATATATTTTAAAATAATTATATAGAAAACAAACAAATACCTACTTATAACTTTTTCGTTAGGATTTGGAGATAAATAGAAGCTAGAATATTGCTCTAAATTTAATTCGTTTTATTGTTTCAAAAAAGCCTTCAGAAAGCTGCATTAATATTTATTTAACATGATTATTAAGTAGGAGTACGTTATTAATTCATTATAAATAATATTATATGATGAAACATTTTCAGGGCGACATTCCAGGAACATTCTTTTGGAAACCAAGATTGGGACTCGACTTGTCTATTCCGACCACAAGTACGTTATTAATGGATAAGTATTCCAGTATAAGAATTTTTTTCTGTAATAGGTTACAATTATCATTATATGAGTTCAATTAATTTGAAAAAAATTACTATTATTTGTTTCCCCAAGTGACATGAGACAAACGTTGAAGTTATAAGCACGCTAATCTAGGGTCCATAATCAACAGGTTGGGCCGTGATAGCCCAGTGTTCGGATGCTCGCCTTCAATTCAATATACTCGAGCAACAGCCGGTACCAATGAAATTGTTAATTTTAAGTGCTTAATCAAGTGCTCAGCGGTGATAGAAAACATCGTGAGGAAACCTGCGTATTTTTGAAATAATAACAATAAAAAATTATTTCGAAGATACGTGTAATCCGCATGTGCGCGTGGTGAACTATGCCTTGGTACCCTCTTTGAGTAGAGGCGTTTGCCCAGCAGTGGGACATGTATAGGCTGTTACTTTACTTTTTTTACTACTTTAATTGTCTTGGCTTATACTTCTAACTATACCATTAAAGAGGTTTCAAGAAAGCAGAGGGCAACACTTTGTTGCTGGGATTTTATTCCAATACTAAATTCATACAATACATTTTCATAACAATTGATTATGTAACATTTATTGAGAACGAATTTGCAATGCTTTAAGTTTTCTCACAGTTCTCGTGTGAAATTAGGCTTCTATTTAAATTTTTTAGATAAATCAGTTTTGAAATACAATTTGAAGCGTTTCACATTGTGATAGATCATAGATTCGCTTTCGCCACTGCGGGGCAAAGTTCTCCAAACCATTAGTCTAGCGGCCGATTTCAATATTCCATCAACAGATAGACTTGATTACTGGAGATAGAATTTTGCTGTAAGTAATAAGGAGTAATGTCAAATGAAGGAGAAATGTTTTTACAAAAACTTTGCACCCCTTTTTAACACAATTGCGCGCGTACGGAGGAGTATGAAATATCCCACAATCATAGATTATATAGAGGGGTGCAGAACGCTATTGTTTTTTAATTATGCAAAAAAAAAAATTAAATCAATTAAAAAAAAACCATTACACACACCGCCATTTAAAATCAATCGTGCCCCACTACCTGAACAATCGCTATTAACCAAATCCGTAACTTATTACATAGGCCGTGATAACTTTTTTTTTGAATGCATAACCGGCTCGTTGCCACCCCGTCAGCGTCGTCGTACGCGCAGGCGGTCAAGGGCGACCTGAAGCCGACCGTCGACGAGATACGGCGGGGCACCGCGGTGCTCATAGAGGGCTACCAGCTGGGCGTCACCGTGGTGGCGCTCGCCCTCGGCAAGGACGTGTGGGACGTGCATCCCCACCTGAACCCGTTCCGCGCGTGGTTCTACACCACCGCGTACCGGTGGGGCCTGCGGCATTTGGCGCTGTGAGTGTTCAAAACCCACCCCGGTTCCGCTGCGATCGGCTCCGTCTGGCACTGCGAGTGTTCGAAACCCCTCGGTTTCACTGTTACATGCAACCGTCGCGCAGACGTGTTGTGGTTTCATGCCAAACTAGCGGGCGGACCACCTGGTGTGAATTGGCTACGCCGCCCGTGGACATGTAACGCCGAAGGGAGGGGGGGGGGGGGGGTAACGCACGGTTCTGCCCATTCGTGTGTTAGTGGATTAGCGTTTTGGCTACAGGACCGCTGAGAGACTTAGCGATTTGTCTAGAGGACCGCTGAGAGTCTTAGCGATTTGCCTTGAGGACCGCTGAGAGTCTTAGCGATTTGGCTAGAGGACCGCTGAGAGTCTTAGCGATTTGGCTAGAGGTCCGCTGAGAGTCTTAGCGATTTGTCTAGAGGACCGCTGAGCCATTTAGCGATTTGGCTATAGGAAGGCCGAGTGACTAAGCCAACATTCCCCGCGGCAGGATCCCCGAGTGGCTCCACGGCACCAAGTACAGCTACATAGACACGCACCGCGCGTGGCGGAAGCGGTTCCACTTCAACGAGAAGTTCACGCCCAAGTGGATGCGCTGGTTCCTGCCCCACGTGTGGGAGTGGGACAGGGAGGAGAAGCAGTTTCGCAGGTACATGCGCTACGCGGACCCCGCCTTCGCGAAGCACGTGCACTACCCGGGCGAGGTGTTCGACGACTGGAAGTCTGAGGAGTCCACGGAGACGGTGGAGAACCTGGACATATCCAACGGCTCCATCGAGAAGGACCAGCCCGACTACTGAGCGCGGCGCGCCCCGCTCGCAATGCGAATCAATGTTCGAGTAGGTTGGTCTTTCAAAATAGATATATTCTGTTACTAGTACTACATAGTCTTTCAAAATAGATAGATTCTGTTACTAGTACTACTATTTGACATTGCATAATCCAGTCATACTTGCTACGTACCGGAGAAACTTCATCTCGTACGGTACGTAGCAAGTATTGGCCGTTTTATGTGATTTTAGTACTAATGGGGGCCGTTTCTCTTTTAATGTGAAACTTTTATTCCATCGCGCCAATATTTCTCGTCCGTCTATCGCATGTCGCATTACAGCCGGCAGCGCAGTAGGCGTAAATTAAAGGCGCTAGCAGGAACAATCAGCTAACCGTTTCGCTCGCATCGTGCTTTCTTAAAACGTTCATTCGCCAATTGTTCAGGTCATGTACTAACGCATGGAGCTCGTACTTTCACAAAACGCGTTTCATCGTCGGTAATACTCTGGGCGTTTATTGCTTATTATTGTATTATTTATTATATTATTGTACTGTATATAAAAATAACGTAGGCTATCCCAAGTGTGTATATCATTCAAAGTAAAAAAATGCACTAGTGTTTGTCCTTGAGATTCTGAAAAATTACATATTTTATTCACGTCCAACGCTAGTTGCGTTGTTAGTGAATAAAATATGATTAATTGTAATCAATAAAGAAGAGTAAGACGATAACGCAATATTTTCTTCCGATTTATATTTTATTTTGCAATACAAATATTATTTCTTTGTAAATATAATGTTATATTGTAGTTCATGTGGTATGTTTGTTGTTATCTCTTTCATTATACATGTATTTTATTAATAAAATCTTACGAAAATTATATTGTGACTACGGAAAATTTATGTTGTCATTGTGTAAGCCTGTTGTAATAAAATGTGTCGTGTAAATCTTACCGTGTTTATTTTCAATTGTTCCCAGTAGAACGCGCTAAACGATTTAGATACCAAAAGAAGTTGATTTACGATAGCGCCATCTAGTAGGGAATTAAGAGAGGATAACAAAGACCTCAAAAACACATATCTGAGTAACTGACGAATGTGGGGAGCGGTAAATAAAACTCACGGTTTATACGTCTACGGTTAATGGTTATATATTGCGCGCATTTAGTACACATTGCGGCGAGTCTTTGGTGTTATTATAATATCAGTAAACTACTAAATGGGATTACAATATGTTTATTTCTAAAACGCCGAAGTTCCCTTAGAAACTGCCGACGCTTATCCCGCATATTACATTGGGAAGTATGCGAGTAAATCTCACCTTAAACGCTACGGATGCTGTGTCAGCAAAACTTATAAGCTACGGTTAATATGTTGAGAAAAAATTGAAATTGTCGCCTCATTAGACGTTAAATGCTTCAAAATTACCAACTACGAATAACCTGCTTCTCCAAACGGCCGATGCGTTCGCAACGGCTCACTTAAGTCTAAATACAACGTGAATATATCCTATTGGTTAAAAATACATTATATGAAAAGCAGCTTAGAAAATCAATAGTCGACAGTGTTTCACAGTGCGAGAGGCCGGAATTGTTTCGCGCGAAGGGCCGATGCGCCGCATGGCTTAATCTAAATTAGGCGTATAAACAGGACAGACAGATAGGCATACAGACAGACAGACAGGCGGCAACGGAACTAGATATGTATCAAATGAATATGCGTAGTCGTCAAAGCACTATTGAAGTACACACAGTAACATGCCGTCATTGCATTAGCGGCGTCAAAGTCAGTTTTTGGAGTCCGTCAGCCACTCCAGTTTGGGTTTGCTGGTTGGGTGGTGGCGGCCGACGGGGATGGGGCTGAAGCGGCCGTGTCGTCGGTTGGGCTGCGGATGCCGATGGACGGCCGCTTATATGCCGGGGAAGTGGATGTTGTAGTAGACCATGCTCATGAGCACCAGGTTCACGGCGAAGTAGAACAGGTGCAGATAGAGGCGGACGCGCACCGGGCTCATGGGCCGGTGGCGGGCTCCGTCTCATGGGTCCACGAAGGAGATCATGATGTACCGGGTGCCGCTGGTCACCTTCAGCCCCTCGTGGTAGTGCGTCAGCCGGCCGGGGTGCATCAGAACCCATCCGGGGCGGGTGTCGCGCACCGAGCAGTTGTAGCGGATGAAGTGGCAGCCGCCGCCGGTGTAGTCGACGTCTGTGGGGTCGAACACTCGTCAGTTTTTTTTTTGTAACCTTGGTCAGGTTCGCTGACCGTCAAAGTAAATAGTCCAAAAGAAATTCAAAAACCAAGTAACATGTAGGCTCTCACGTTACATTTAGCATGACTGAGTCTATGGGCCATACTCTATATATGGATTTGCTCGTTAGAGAGGTTTCAGTTGCCGGTAATAAAGGGATAGATAGATAGATCGCTTGTTACATTTAAATCGCTATCAAAAGATTTTCAAAAGTGCTTAGGTGTTTCGTTGGCTTAGTTTATGGGCCAATATACGCTCAGGAGTTTGGTCGGCTGAGTTTCTGGGCTATTATACACTTATGCGTTTATAGGCTTATTTACGCTTAGGCGTTTCGCCGGCTGAGTTTATGGGCTAGATCTGTCTACTCACTGGGCGTGTTGAGGGCCAGGTTGATGGTGTAAGTGGACGAGTCGTGGTGGGGCCTGAGGGATGGCTGCTCGTCGGGACGGTAGCGCACCACGAAGTTCATTATGGACACCGGCGGCTGCAAAAAAAGCGATCGCATCCGTTACGTCGTTCTCATGTCACAACATGATTTTCTATATTTTAACACATATTGTTTGCTCCTAAAATGTTTATATTTTAACTGTAAAATGTTAATCCGCTCTTGGCTTTAAGTTATATCTGATATAAATGTAAAACAATTGAGGGCTGTGGATTTTTTTGTTGTTCAATAAAATATAAACACCATGTGTCATCCTTTTTTAGACCTTTTTTTTAATATAAACGTCGGCGTAATATATTGTATGAGAATAAATCATTATTAGTTTCTAGTCACAAAGCCAAGATGTTCAATTAGTTGAGAATACCGAGATGACTGCTTAGAATATCGCCGAGCCACCACCTCCGCGCCATTGGGGGTTCAAACATCGACGTGTACTCACGTTATGGAAGTAGCCCGTGAAGACCATTTCCTGCAGCGGGCGGACGTACTCCTTGAGGATGTGCAGCCATTGACGTTCCAGCCCCACCTGGTTCATGTGGATGTCCCTGGTGGGAACCGCCTCGTAGCCGCTCTCCAGACGTTTGTCCTGGACGATATAAAAGACCATGAATAAACGAACATTCACGATGCGGGTCCGATCCCCACCATTGGAAATATTATTGTGCGATGAACATTGTGTTTTTCTAGTGTGTGGGTGTTTATTTATCTATAATATGTATTTATTTACAAAAGGAAAGTACGTTGATCAGTTACCTAGTATGCATGGTACAAGCTTTGCTTAGGTAGGGACTAGATAACGTAGTTTAAAAAATTGTCCCAGAAAAAATCAAAGTATTCTACTAGCATGTGAATTTAACGACAGGTGGTAATTTGGCAGTGAATACGACTTTAAAATATTTTTATAGTATTGATAAATAGCGATATTTTGTTCGATAAAAGAAGTGTAAAACAGCTGCGTCCAGTGTAGTAGTTATATTTGTACGTTTTATATTTGTAAGTGTTATATTTGTACGTTTCGTCCCGTGAGTGAGGTAGTCGGGGCCCACTCAAATGGTAACGCATCTGCAACCCTTCTTGTGTTGCAAGTGTATATGAGCGGCGGTCAGCTCAGCTGCAACCGTCTTACGTGAAAAAGGAATTAAGGCTAACATTAACGTTGCCCTGATATCTCATTGGGCGCTCGTTTTAATTACTTATACTTATATACTTGAGCGACGCGAGTTCGGTCCCCGGTGGCGGCACCAATGAAGTTATTAAGTGTTAACTTAAGCGCTCAGCGGTGAATTTAACATCGGTGGGAATCCTGCATATTTTATTAATAATTCCCAAAAAATGTATGCTAAAAATAGGCGGCCTTTGCCCAGCTGTGGGACATGTATTGGCTGTTGCTTTACTATTTATTGTTGTGTCCAAGAATGGAATGTTGAAATCTCACGTTGTTCGATCCGTCACTCCACTTGCCGTACGCCTCCATCACCTCGATCCACTCCTTGCAGAAGCGCATCGACATCAACGGGAACCAGTACACGTCGGGGCAGGGCTGAGCACGTGGGCAAATCGTCAGGTAGGTTAATTGATTTTATTTTATTTATTCATGGAACACTTGCAGCAAACGTAAAACCATTAAGATGTAAATAAATTGACAAGAGATCGGCAATTCACAAGTTTACTGAAATAGATACATCACGAGATTAAACAGAAGATCACGAGTGTAAAAAAGGGTCCCAACGTTGTTGAATAATTCATTGTTGATTTCACAGCACTGTCGAAAATGTGTTGGGGACAAGGATGTGTGGAAATGACTCTTGGTCTGCACTTGCCGGTACCCTGGCTGCTGCTCATCTGAACACCACGGTTGAATACAAAAATGATCTAACCGTCGATCCCCGTTCAACACCGACACCAGGAAGTCAAACAAACTGAAATGGTCTGAAAGGTCGGGAATTCAAAAGTCAAATTTGAAATGCAAACAGATCAGAAGAAGTTTCACGCGTTGCGCCGACCCGTCCTAGTCTGTGCGGGGGCGGAGGGGGAGGGAGGAAGAATGCGCATATTCGCTCACCATTTTGTGGGCCCTAGAATAGTCCAGGCTGCTCGCGTACTCCGGGTGTAGGTAGCGCTGCTCCCACTCGATCTTGTTCTCAATGACCTGATAGATGTCCGGGTTGGTCTTGGTGGTGTCGTAGGTCTCCGGGTTGACCAGGTGGCCGAGGTCCTGCTCGTTGCTCACGTACATCATCACGCCCTGGGCGGCACAATCGGTGTGGTGAAGGCGACGGGCGCGTTCAACTGTGGTAGGGCCATGGGCAAGTGCCACGACCTCGCTCGCGGAAGACCGGCGTGAAGTGGAAGTATAATACGTTCGCGTTTCGTCTGCTGAGTGAGGTGGCCGGAGCCCGATTTTCAAAACGCTGTCAACGCATCTGCAACCCTCGGGTGTAGCAGATGTCCATGGGCGGCGGTATTCACTTAACACCAGGCGAACCGCCTGCTCGCTTGGCAACTTGTCACAAAAAAAAATTACATAGATTCACGAAACCGCCGCACTCCCGCTTGGGCAAATTGTGTAATCTATCTATAGCCTAGTCTTAAATCTCTCAGGATTCAAATGTAAATACAGTTAGCAAAAGTTGATGACGATACTACGGATAAATTATTTTACGGGTAAATCGAAGATGATCAAATAGTATTAGGTCGCTTAAATGTAAAAACTAACGAAATATAATAAACATTAAAGAAAAAAAATTTCTAAGACGTTTATCATTATAATCTGCCCTACCGCAGCATAACAACTGTGGTAGGTCCACACAACAGTTTTAGCTCATATATGGGCAGGTCCCGCCGGGTAAGTACTACGACCTCACAGAAGACCGGCGTAAAGTAGAAGTGTTACACTTCTGCGTTTCGTGTGAGGTAGCCGGGGCCCATTTTATCAAAAGGTAGCAACGCATCTGCTCTTAGCTCGTCTCCATTAGCTCGTCTGCAACCTTCTAAGTTAAATGAAAATATTTTAGTTAGTCGATTTATACGCATTTAGAAATTTCAACTAGTCAACTCGGTGTGCAGCATTTTTAATACAGGCATCCCGCCGCGACCTACAAAAGAAACTATTACAAGGGTTGTGCGAACAGTGCTAGAGAACTTACCGCTTCTCTTAAGCTGTTGCAGAAGGCCATGTCGGGGTCGACCTCGTCCTTGGAGAAGGTCACGGCCTTGCCCGAGGGTTTGCGGAACAGCTCTATGTTGACCAGGTAGCAGTTGGCGATGAAGGGAACGTTCCATATGCCCCTGCGGACGTCAACTGATGTAAGGTCAGGTCACGCTCTTCGTCGTAAAGGGCCTCATGGTTCTCATTGGTTCTCAATCCTCACGGTAGGAGTTTGTGTGAGCCGTGATGGAACGTAGCAAAAAAGCCGTGGTATCACAAGTTATAATATGTGGCAGCATTGATTAACGTCATCAATATGACAATATGAACTAGCTAGAATCGCCATAAGTAAATTTTATTGGCATGGAAGGTGTGTAGTTCTTCAAAACGTTTGCAAATTAAAAACCAGCCAATTGCGAGTTGGCCTCGCGCACGAAGGGTCCCGTACCATTATTTATAATAACGGGTAAGTACTTATAGCAAGCACCTATACCTCGAGGTTGTTGTATAGGAGCCCCGTAAATATTTTTTTATTTATTCTGTCGGCAACAGAAATACGTAATCTGTGAAAATTTCAATTGTCTTACTTATTACTATCACGGTTCATAAGATACAGCCTGGTGACAGACGGACAAACAGACACCGGAGTCTTAGTACAAGGGTCCTGTTTAGCACTTTGGGCACGGAACCCTAAAAATGGTGTTTACCGGTTGCTTTCTGAAACACCGTTTGCAGGCTTACCATAATTTCGTAGTCTAAATGTGGCACGTAAAACGTAAATACCAGTGAACCGGTAAAAGGTTTAAAACTAAATAAGTCTAGAATGCAATTCCATTCTTATAAACGCAACCAAACATATTAGAATACTGTAATAGGTGTGTATACATTTTAACTTTAAAAAATCGAATAAGATAAAAGGTTATCTTACAGCACGGTGTGTTATCGTGGAAAAGGTTTATACAGTTCAATTCTCGAACATACGAATTAATGTGAATATTTATCATCTTTATGATAACATGATATACATAATATATAATTTATATGTTATTTTTCTAGTAGAATACAACTACAGCTTACCTTACTTTGGAAAACGTGACTCTTTATACAGATAAAATAAATATCTTTCCGGACATGTGTAAAGTACGAAACAGCTCAAATATGTAAGAAAAACCGGCTAAGTGCGAGTCGGACTCACGCACGAAGCGTTCTGTACAATTATCTATAAAAACGGCAAAAAAAGCTGTCTGTTGTATGAGAGCTCCAGTTAAATATTTTTCAATTCTGTTTTTTATGTATTTATCGCCATAGGGGCAACACATACATTATCTGTGAAAATTTCAACTGTCTAACTATCATGGTGACAGACGGATATACAGACAGACAGACAGCGGAGTCTTAGTAATAGGGAGGGTCCTATTTAAGTCCTTGGGTACGGAACCCAAGAAAAGTAACGCAACAGCTGTTGGACGAATGGTCGAGCACGTACGGGGAAGAACCACGATCTCACAGGAAGACCGGCGTAAAGTAGGAGTGTTACACGTTAGCGTTACGTCTGGTCAGTGAGATAGCCGGGGCCCACTTTCTTAAAAGGTGGCAACGTATTTGCAACCCTACGGGTGTTGCAACTGTTCATGGGCGGCGGTTATCACTTAACATCAGGTGAAACGCCAGCTCTGTCACATAAAAAAGAATCGAGTAAATGGGGATCCAAACCCCTGGCGCAAGATAGGTCCGGTACGCCAATCGGTACACCACAAAATCGAATCATAGGCCTCCCAGCGAGGAGTGGCTGGACAAGAGAATCGAGAAACTGTGGCGGTGGGCACTTTCCCACGTCGCCTCGTGAACTTTCTAGAAGGCGGACGCCGCCAGTCGACGGGCAAATTGGCCCGCGAGCCCCCCCCCCCCCCCCCCCCCCCCCAAGCAAATTGGCGGTGCCTTCGATCCCCTCCGGATCAATTGTGGCGCGGCGGGCCAGTGTCACTCCGATGGGCGGCGGCGACGGGGACCCTAGCTGCGACCGAATCCGCACCTATGCTGCCGAAGCGCTTTCTGCCGATCCTGGTGCTCGCGCTGGCTCTCGGCGCCGCGTGGGCGAGACGTGGCCGCGCGAGGAGTAGGACCAAGTCGAAGGTTACGCCGCTTTTGGATCGCTTCTCGATTGACGTTTGTTTTTTTTATGTGAGAAAGCGGCCGGCGAACGGGCTGGCGGCTCACCCACAAGCGATAACTCACGCCCATGGTCATTCGCGACAGTCGCAGGGTGGCTGATGCGTTGCCACCTTTAATAGGGTGGGCGCCTGATACCTACCGGACGTAACGCAGAAGTGTGAGGTGTCCAGTTTACGCCGCTCCTCAGTGAGGTCGCGGTACTTACCCGGACGGACCTGTCCACATGTTGTAAGTCCGATCAGTCTGAGATGGGGCAATGCCTGCGTGTTTCATCTACATTGCAATATAGATATTTCAATGGGAAACTATAAATATAAATGTAGTATCATTTAACTCTTTAGTTTCTAATCTGGCTCAGTCCATCAAAGCTCAAACATATCTTTGTGTTCTATGTACAAAACGACGAAATCTAACGTCGAATGAGAAAATAAATTATAATATAACAAACAAACGATGTCTAAGGGCCCCCAACTGGTCATGTTCAAAAGACACGATGCTAAAAGACACGGGCTACGAAAATTTTTGTTGGATCTATCTCATTCAAAGTCCTTTAATTGCCTTCTCGAACGCTAAATGGCAATCGTTGCGATCTTCGTATGACCCATCAGATTTCTGACGCTGCGCTCATTTTGTCGACAGGTGCAAATCGGGCTACCAATCACCGGCAAGTACAGAGACCCTGAGTCGGACCAGTACTACAACAACAACGATGTGAGTTTCACAACCGTACACTGTTGTCGAACCGTTGTACACTTTTGGATTCTAATTGTTCTATATGTGTACGGAGCTTTCCCTCTGAAAGCCACCGAAGGGCTACGAAAATGCTGTTTGGAAGTATGAATTCCTTTCACTATTTTTTATTATGTTATTGTGTCTTAGAGTTTGAATTGCGCATATATTAAGCAGCCGAAACAGAGAGGCTCGCTGTGAAACTACGGTTTCCACTCGAGCTTTTACTGTACAGAAATAGTGTTTCCTCATGTCGACGCTTTCGAAAGTTCTCGCTCCCCAGCGCGGCCGTAAATAATGTGCACATGCGAATTCAATAGATTATATTTAGTTTACGCCGTGAACGTCTGAAAGCCGAAGCCGCTCTCGATTTACCGATTGCAGTGCTAAATCATTTGTTCTGATTCAAAATATAAATATAGACCTCAACCTGAAGTTGACTATGCTTACGGCCAGATAAATATATAAATTTGACTACGGTAACTAATCTGAATGTGTTTACGTTCTTGTATAGACATTTTAATGAAAAATTGTAAGCAGTAACGTAGTGCCTTCTAATTTTTTAATTTCTAAGTTATGTTCCTTCTTTCTGCATGTCTTTTTGCTAGGCCTAAAAATATCACGCGCCATTCTTTATTAAAAACTATGATCCCTTCTCTAAACATTGAGTTAAACATTACAAATGGGATCGTCTCATGTCTCCTTTAAATATAGTTATATTAAATCAAACAAAAAGAAAAACGGAATATGGTAATTTTAAAAAAAAATTGAGAGAAACCGTCGGCCGTAGCTTGTGAGATCGTATCCATTTATCAACGCATCGCGAAGTATATCGCTTCTGAGATAAAAATATGTACGGATAGGCCACGTCCGTCGTTGCGATGTACTTATGGTGACACGAGGGGGGCTCTTGAATTGGCCCATCCGAGCAATTCCTCGGCCTAAGGGTCACGCGGTACTCAGTTGTTTGTTATCGAACATGTAGTGTACTGTTTTGTTTCGACTCACGTGAACAAATGTCAAATTCAAATGTTCTCCCATTCTCCCATTTTTTTCCGAAGTATTTTAAACGCTAAAATAACGCGGTCGATTGACTCGTAATATCGACATTTATGACAGAAACTTTAATTAATTCCAAACCAACATTTACTACGTCGGCGAACCAGTAAAAATTTTGGGTAACCGCTATTTGAGTCAATCTTTTGCATATGAAAATGTTATTGAAGCGTACCAGAGTTTTTGGAAGTTCCCACCCATTGCCGGAAACCGTGATAAGAATAACATACAACAAAACAAATACCAATGTGAGACGAGAGCAGTGCATAATCGGAAACAATTTTCCGGTCACCGCTAAACATTACAGTTTCTTTAGGATTTTTCTAGACTTTAATAAGGCGTTTATCATTTACAGCCATTATCTCGCAGCATTATTGTTGTGATCAGGGAGCAAAACAGCGATCAGTTCATGATAAAATTATTCAGAATAAGTGTTATATTCGACTTAATGAATAATATTAGCGATGTCGTACTGTTCTCGCAGAAGTACGAGTTGGGTGCCCCAAGGGACGCTTCCAGTTGTAATAAGTTTGACTATAAACTAATAACCATGAAATAATTTCGTCGGCTTCTGCTTTAGATCAAATGGGCCTTCTCGACTTTTGACACAGAGCCTCACAGAAGAGAAGAGAAATTAAGAGCTTCAAAGAGTATTGGCAATAAAGACGCAACTTTGTTCGTTATCCTTCTCAAATTAGAAAAGTGAGATGTCAAGAGAGGTGTCCCAAAACGGATGCGTTTAATATGAAATTTTTTTCGCTGTATATTATGTATAAAATAAAAGGCGCAGCGAAATAAATTATCAGCGATTGAGAGTTATTAAATGATAAATTAAAAAAGAAAACTAAGGAAATCAAAACCAAATTGCAATTGAAATTTATTAAATAAAATTGACGATAGTGTATCCCGCGCCCTCGTTATTTAGTCATTTAACATGTGTTAAAAAGAGAGCAAGAAAGCATGTCGCCCGAGAGTGGAATGGTAGGTAGGCGGCATAACGCTTATACCTTACGTGACGATTTACTCTCAAACCACATACAACTTCAGCCTCATTCGTTCCAAAATGAGTTTATTAAGTAATACGACGATCGATCCCAATTTGTAGGGCGCAAAGATTGTGCTGGCGTCGCATTTCGACCTGGAGTACGTGCTCGGCCACAAAATCGCGTTCCTGTGCATCGCTAAAGGCTCCCCCCGGCCTCACATCACCTGGTTCAAGGACGGCGTCGAAATCTTCGCCCACCACTACTTGCACGTGAGTTCACCGATACACACTGAGTGATTTAACTGTGGTAGGGCCACGCAACAGACTGTTGCATGAATGGGCAGGTCCGTCTGGTGGAGTACCACGACCGAGTGGAATTGTTACAACTTCTGCGTTCCGTCTGGTGATTGAAGTGGTCGGCGCCCATTTTATTAAAAATGTAGCAAAGCGTCAGCAAACCTACGTGTGTTACAAATGTCACTGGGCGGCGATTTATTTCTTTGCCGAAATTTCAAAGTTTTAACTTGACATGCCAATTTCTCCAACACTACGTACGTCTGCAGTTGACTTATGCATTTCTCTATCTGTATTCCACCACTCTTTGCAACTCGCTTCTATAAGCAGACAGCCTTTAAGTCAAAGCAATGTAACTGAATAGATAATAGATCAAAGCGATTCGAATCCAGCTAACGTATCATATATAGCTGTCCCAATAGCTCCATAAAGCCGTGTCTTTCATCTCGCACACACACTTCTAGTCGCCTTTCGACCGACTTCAAAAAAGAAGGTTGTAAATTCAGTGGTATTGTTTTACGTTTGTTATCTAGGCGTTTGTGGGACGATTTCAAAATTTCTGTACTGGACCTTGAAATTCGGAGATATATCAGAGAACTCCTCAAAGTCGAACAAAAATCATAAAGAAAGTTCGATATAATCATATATTTGAGGTCGGTTTGTTGTTGTGTTCTAATAGTGGTGGTTCCACGCAACTGCTTGGGCTGTTGCATGAATGGACAGATAAGTACCACGGTCTCACAGAAGACCGGCGTGACGTGGGAGTATAATAATTTCACGTTACGTTTAGTGAGTGAGGTAACCGGGGCAGATAAGTTTTAAAGGTTGCCAACCATCTTCAAACCCTCGTGTGTTGTAGATGTCCATGGGTGGCGGTGATCACTTGACATCAGGGAAACCGCCTGTTCTCTAGTTACATATGACATATTTTAAAATGTTCCGTCCATAGAAGTTCAGCGTGTTTGTATTACGCCCACCTATGTGCATAAAGAATCACTACTTAGTGTAAAACAAAGCCGTCCCGCTGTCTGTCTGTCCCTTTATATGCTTAGATCATTAAAACTACGCAACGGATCTTGACGCGGTTCTCTACTAGACTGAGTGATTCAGGAGGAAGGTTTATATGTATAACACCCGTGCAGAGCCGGGGCGGGTCGCTGGTGAGTAATTAAATAAAACACGAGCAAACTCCGAATCGATTCCAGATACACGAGTGGCCGATAGGCGAGGACAAGGTCAAGTCCAAGATCGAGATCGACCCCGCGACCCAGATGGACGCAGGCGTCTACGAGTGCACCGCCGACAACATGTACTCTATCGACCGGCGCTCCTTCAAGACGGACTTCTCCATCGCCTTCGACTGAGCACGCGCACACACGCGGACACGACACACTCAAACACACACACGTACAAACGGAGAGAACAGTAACAGTCTAATCCTCGAATAGCCATCAGATCGTTATGTAACAGTCGATCTTGTAGAATTTATCGTTAGGCGATCGCCTTCGATTAAAAACGCACACACTCATCGGCACAATAAACACACATGCACAAAAGCAACCGCTCAAATACACATATGCAAACGGAGAGAATGACAAGAGTCTGATCCTCGACCAACCATCAGATCGTAATCTGGCACTAAGTATTACATAACATTAGAACTTGTAAATTGAATCCCAAGGCGATGGATTAAGCAAGCACTCACACATGGACAGACAACACACGTACACAGACACGGATACTGTAACATACAAACGTCAGGAATAGCGACAGTTTAATCGTCGACCAGCCATCAGATCGTAATCTGGTACTAAGTGTTACGTAACAGTATATCTAGTAGAAGTAATCGTAAGGTGATCGACAAAGCATGCACTCACACAAGGACACACAACTCACTCAAACACATACAAACGGAAAAGCATTAAATGATTCGTAAGGCGATCGCCTTCGACTAAAAACGCACACACACATGGACACACAACACACGCAAACGGACACACTCAAACACATACATACAAACGGAGAGAATAGCAACTCAAATAGCCAGCAGCAGCGCAAGTATATTTTCTTTTCTAAATTCTCGACTAAACCATTTTTGAATTACTTTGAATTAATTTCCCATTTTTGAGGAACCGCATAATTCCTAAAAACCGTAGCTGATTCAATAATGGTGAATACAACTCCTAACTGCTTTGTATTTTGTTGGCAGTACATATTTTTTTAATGTACGAAATTATATTTTATCAAATGGCATACAATGGCAACCATATTCAATATAACAAAAGAAATGGCTGCGGGTTCTCTTTGTCGTAATAGCGAAAACACTAACTATCGCTCTATAGTTACCTAAAAAGTGTATAAAAAAACCAAAATCTGTAAAAAAAATCATACATGCAAGTATTTGTATGTAAAACTGTAATTATTTTTATTCATGTTTAAGTATATCTAGGTGTAAGTGATATCTATGTCAAGTAGTTATTTCGTTTTCCCATATTCTTTGTGATTGACATTTAAAATCTTGTATGTCATTTTAGCCTTACTACCCGTAATTTGTCGAGAGGACTAACCGTAAAAAAATGCTATTTAGCATTAAGTTGACCGTTGTACAAACTTTTAGTATAATAAAGAATTTTTTAATCAATCAATCAAAATCTCTTTACTATGAAATTATTCTGATGCACCCAATAATAAAAAATGAAAACCATCTTCAAATCATTCAATTTTAAGTCGATCTCTCTCATAGTTCGTTATTAATCTTCAAGTATAATTCTTTTTTTTTTTTGTATACATTATTTATAAACATAATATCCCATGCGTTATTGTTGAAAACTATGGTGACTGGCAAAATATCTCGAAAATTTGTAGTCGATATGAAACGATATCATTAGAAATCCTAAAAAATAGGCAGTAACACTCAACCCGTGCGTCTGTGCGATAACATGACATGTTAAAGCAATATTTATTTGATTTGTTAAGAACGTTTATTAGATTGTTAAGATTATGTTATTATGTCTATATTGGGTATAATGTTTTGTATTGAAATATTTAAATAAATGCATTTTTCGTATTTCACACATTTGTATTATTATTGCGCCGAAAAATAAACATTGAGTTGCAACTCAATAATTATTCCCTCGCCGTTCGCAGTCCACTCCGTCCTGCAATACGTACCCACAGCCTGCATCCGCAAAGTATAGTGTGGGTGATAGTAAATTGCCCTGAGGGACACCCCCGCCGCTCCCGCTGCACCTGCAGGGACCCACTCACCTTATGGAGTTGTACACAATCTCCATGTAGTCCGCCGAGCGAGCGTAGAAACCGGACGCGTTGATCGCCCCCCAGAAGTTGGACCAGGCCTGGCCGGGGCGAACTAGGAGGGGAGCTAACACCCCGTAGCCCGATGATAGCAGGTAGCGCAGGGTGCGACTGTCCACGCGGGCCACGCTGTCCACGGAGAACAGGTAGTCGCACACGCTGCTCACGCAACGATCCCTAACGGAGCAGAGACGGTGTCAGACCGAAGCACACACAAAGGACACATTTTTTTATTCCCCGCGTTCTCGAGTCCCAAACTTAGTAACGCTCATACTACAGGTTCTAGTTATCTAGCCATACTTAAACATACTTTATTTTGTAAATAAATAGATATTGGATATAAATTAACACACGGACCCTGGAAGAACACTATGATCATCACACAATATTTTTCCCGCAGTGGGGATCGAACCCACACCCTCATTACGCGAATCGGGTCGTTTAAGATACTGTTGTAGGTAGAAAGGGAAGAAAAACCTATCGCGTGATTTTAACAATCAATGCCAAAAGCCAAATATGATAATGCCGAATTCCATTATAACTATAACAAAATTGACAATGATCAAAGTCAACTGAGGCAACAATTTGACCTCAATCGAAACGCTTTCTACGATGTGGATGGAACATTCGAGAAGTTACGATAGCGAACCAACAAATGTGCGTACTGATTAGCCATTAGCCCCGATGGCTATTTGTCACAATTGGGGCGACCAAAACATTATTGCCACTGGTGGCTCCGTTCATAGATAATTATTGGGAATGCGGAGTCGTGATAACTCAGTGTCGGCACTAATAGAATTTTTGATTGTGTGTATATTTAATACCCATATAAGTAATACAACTCATTTCGAAGATTTTCGTTTATTGTTAGAAGTTTCGAAGATTTTCGTTTATTAGTACGCAAAACGTCTGCAGTATGACATCCTAGTTGATTTTACGACGTTGCTGAACTGAAACTCAATCATTTACTTAATTCACTTTGTAATCTACTATTTTCAAACCAAGTTGAATATGCGACGTTGTCAAATTTCATGTAATTGTGTGTTTACATAGGCAGTACGATTTTTTTTTATATGAGAAATGAAAATGTAGAGAGAAAAAAATTAACTAAATATCCAATGTCATTGGGTTCTATGACATGGTCTGGTTAATCGGAATTAAATAAAAACACGTTACATGTACACACACATATATAACTGAGCGGAAGTCGAACCCACTATCTAAAACGGCGAATCCGATGACTTCGTAACTGTCCCTAAAGACACATCGAAATGTATTTTGCTACATGAGACATCTAACTATAATTAGGCATCACGCGTTAAAAAACATTTTACATCAGAAACTGATTACGTAATACACGAAAAGTTAACGACGTCCGCGGTCAAAGCGGACACTATAGTAGTTCACATAAATTCGAACACAGCATAATTATATGTTGTGTTTCAATTCCTGTGTCTTTATGCGAGCAAGGATTTTCCTATTTCAAATCAAATACTAGCGCTGACATGTGTTGTATGTGTTATGCGTTTAGTTGGTTAGTGAAGTAGCCACTCTAATCAGCGTACTTTATTAAAAGGTGGCAACGCATCTGCAACCCTACGGGTACTTGCAAAAACAATGGGCGGCGGTTGTCACTTAGCATCGGGCGAAACCCCAGCTCGCTTACCACCATCGTACACAAAAAGTCTTACCACGCAAAATTGTCCGCATGAAATTAGCTGTGGAGAGAAATAGAATAAATAGCCGTTTCAGACCTTCACGACAATCGGATTGATCAGAACAGAATGGGATGTCACTCACTTGGCGATATCCCTGGCCTCCGCTTCCGATATGAAGTCGCTCGGTTTGATCCTTTTAGCGGTCGCGTACTCCTTCGAGTGCTCCTGGAAGAACTTGTCCACCATCTCCTCGTGGTACTCCACGTTGTTCCTGAGCAGCAGCTGGAGCTTGTTCTTGGGGTAGTCGATGTCCAACAGCTGCTTGAGGAAATCCTCGAGGAACGGTGTCGATTGCTCGATGAACACCGCCAACATGACTTTGGGCAGGTGCTCGTCCTGTATCCAATGTCCACGTCAGTCGTACCAACTAAGGCATTACACCAGAAACCGACGATGTTCCTGCTGATGCGAGTAGTGAGAGTTTCTAATAATCAACACATACAGGTCTTCTAAGTTAGCGATCTAATAAGTGCTGCAACTCTGTTAAGACGCACTGTTTTCAGTAATAATAATAATAATAAAATATCTTTATTCACATAGACGCTTGCGCGTTCTTATGAAACGTCAAAATTTTACCAGAAATGATCTAAGTACCACCGGTTCGGAAAGCAGTTTCTGTTGAGAAGAAACCGGCAAGAAACTCAACTCTGTTTTTAAGACGCACTGTTTACAATATAATAGTACATCTCATATCATCAATAGTACTCTTCGTCTACCGGAGCTATCTCGGTACTGAAGCCGATTAAACCGTTGATCACAATTTTAAGTGCTGACTTATCACGTGCTCAGCGGTGAAGGAAAACTCCCTGAGGAAATGATTACAAAAAATATTTCCGAAGAAACGTGAAGTCCGCCAATCCGCAGTGGCGTCGCATGGTGGACTATGCCTTAATACCCCTGTACAGAGGTGGCATTTGCCTAGTATTGGGACATTTACAGGCTTGTTACTTTACTTCACTTTTTAACTACTTTCACGAGGACCCTACCTCGAGCTTGATCCTGTTCTCTTCGCAGAGAGTGCAGCCCTCCTTGTGCGACCACGACTTGGCCAGGTAGTTGCCCAGGTGGTTCAGCGTCAGCTTCGAGGGTCCGTTGCCGTGGATGATCAGGGGGCGCTGTTTGGTCGCCACGTTCTCCACGAAGGGCCACTCCTCCGGTATCGGTTCGGTAGAGTTGATGCGCAGCTGCACGTCAGCTAAAGGGTCAAGTTTTCCGAACGTTTATGACACCTCCCGTACACCTTTGCTAGATTAAAAAAGACTACAATACAAATTGTTCGTTCATCCAATCGCTAGTACTTACACAGGGCTCCGTTGAGGTTCTGAAATATCTCGGACTTGTGGTCAAGGTTAATCCTCAGGGTCCCCCTCAGTTTCTCGTTCAAGTAGACTTTTGTGTAGTACAGCTGGTCGTCGTCTTTATCTTTAATCTCTCTTGCGTTCACAATTTCAAAGATTTCTGGCAGGTAACCTGCGGAAAGTTCAACAGTTGCAGCCCAAAGTGATAGACGTTTAACTATTTAATTAAACAATCTTTATGGATTTATTGCGTTTATTTTTAATCTAACATAAAAATAAAACTAACCACACGGAAACTTTGGAGCTAGATACACTTGATTACAAGTGGACGACATTCGAAATCCACTCCGTTAGAATAAAAGACGTTGGACAGTATTGGAAATCAGTGACGACTCTGATATATAGACATTTTTTTTAAACATAAAAGGCAACAAAATGGAATCAAAATCAAATGTATTTATTCAACATAGGAGCATTACACTCACTTATTGATAGTCAAAACACTACCACCGGTTCGGAAAAGAAAGCCACTGTACTGAGAAGAACCGGCGAAAGAAACTCAGCGGGCTTTTTTTTTTTTTTTTTTTGACATAATAAGCAGTTTGACATAAATTCGTTAAAATACAATATAAGAACTCCGATTGAAAGAGCCTGGAGCGATCAGTTTTACCTACCAGAGTGTGTTATCATTTAAATAATCATTAATATTATAGTAGCCTTTTTAACACACAAACGTTCTTTTACAATTTTTTTTAAATTTAGCTATTGATGCATTTTGAACGTTTTCTGGAATTTTGTTGTAATAACGTATACATTGTCCCATAAAAGATTTACTTATTTTACGGAGTCTACTTGTGGGTAGGATCAATTTATTTTTGTTCCTAGTATTTATATCATGAACATTATTATGTCTTAAAAATTTATCCTTATTTTTATGGACATACAAAACATTTTCAAAAATGTATTGAGCAGCAACAGTCAATACCTTTATCTCTTTAAACAAGTTTCTTAACGATTCTTTGGGGCCCAGATTGTAAACTGCACGAATAGCTCTCTTTTGTAAGATAAAGATTTTATTAATGTCGGCCGCGTTACCCCAAATTAATTTATTATTTATTAAAGATTTAGCAGTATAACAAGCTTTTTTAAATATTTTAGAGTAGGCACTAACATAAGAAACAAAACATTGACTATGATTGTATGTCCTTTCACTATAAAGTTCATACAATCTACGTCTACTATTATGAATTCCGACTGTTGCCCATTCATTGAAAACTACAGAGCTTTTAGGTTTGACTGTCTTAGGAGTAAATATAGTATTAAATTCCACTTTAATTAAATTAAATAATATGTTGTAAAGTGCATTGGGGCTATCATTATAAGGTAGATACGTCAGCTTTTTTGTTATATTACTTCTAAACTTCTCAACCCGAGTTCTATTTACAGGAACAACCATTATTTTTTGTACCTTAGCACTACTACTTATAAAATATGAGATAAAAGTGGCAAGTTGTCCGCAATGGTCTGAAGTAAATATATTAATAATAGACTTGTTAATTGGGTTACAATTTGTAAATATGTTATCTAAACAAGTTGCGGAAGAAGTAGTGATTCTAGTTGGTTCAAGGAATAAATGGGCAAGGTTATATGAATTTAACAATGATCTGAATCTAATAGAGGTGGTAGAATTTTCTAATAAATTTATGTTAAAGTCACCACAGACAATAATATATTTATTAGACTCAGATAACTTAACATCAATTCTTCCAAAACATTTTCAAAAGATTCATATAACACACTAGGAGGTCTGTATATGTATACAACAATGAATTGCTCAAGCTCCACACAGGCTATTTCAATAGTCTGCTCAACAGAGAGGCTCACAACATCTTTGCGGTTCTTAAATTTTAAAGCATTATTAATAAGTATAAGAGAGCCACCACGTATCGCTTTTTCTCTGCTGAACAGACTAGCAACCTGGTGACATCTGAAGTTAAATATGAACTGGTAGTTTAATGGCCAATGTTCAGTAATACATAATATATCAATATTGTTACTGTTCAAAAATAACTCAATTTCCAAATCTTTACTTAACATTCCTTGGATGTTTTGATGGACCAGGCTAATACAATTTAATTTATTACTACAATTAATGTCTTTATTTAATTTACTTACACGTCTCACTAATTTACTAGAATAAGTTAAGTTTTTAATTGAAGTGCCAGAGATTGCCTCTGTTGTCTTCTTATTTAATTTAAATTACTTGGAACGGATTCCAAATTGGTACATGTCAAATTTTGTTGCTGTTCAATAGAAGCAGCAGTCTGGTTAGCCAAACAATTGGCTGGGTTTAAAAAAAATGCAATAAGATAGCATATAAGCTAACTGTTTTAAATAAAAATTGGATAGGATGAACCTATCATATGTCAAATTGGATGATTTATAATTTATAATATTATTTATGTCAATTAAATCACAATTTAATTTATTTTTTTGATAAATGGGTACATAATTGTTATTTGTCAACATATATAACATATGATTAAGACTATGTCTATAATTGTTTTCCTGTGGCAACCCTTTTACATAGGGAAATGTGAACATTATTATTTTTTTAACATTTAAGTTTAATAATTGATCATAATAATTCTGTAAGTGTTTCTTGTTAACATTTCCCCTTCTCCCAATTAATATAATTAAGATAGTGTTGGGACAATGAGTGGTTGTCAATATTGTATTCATTATTTGAGAGTAAGTAGCTCTGGGCATAGAATGATTAGAAACTGATTGTCCCTTACATATATTATTAAGCAATGACCCCATATTCCTCCCTAACTCATCACTATAAACTTTGATAATATCGTTACTGGGAATATGTTGTGTTACTTGTTCATGTCTGCTGTTGATGTGGCTGTTGTGATTCTCATCAGTCTGAGAAGAAGGCACTTCATCAACATTCAGCCGAGAAAGACCAAGGGAGCTTTGACATTCACAAACATAGTTTTTTGTAAGTGAGTCAAAGCGGTCTGAATTATTCTTACACATGTCAAGCAGGTCGTTCATGGCTGAAATATGTCCAGCAATTTCTTTTTGGGACATCTCATATTTTTTTGTTATCGAGTTCAAAGAACTCTCTAAGTATAATATTTCAGCCTGAAGGGAATTCACATCAGCCTTATATGATAACTGAACTTTTTGGGCCTCATTATAAAAGATATTAATTTTTGACCGGAGTGAATTTCTTTCCTTACAAATTTTTGCAAAATTTTTGTTAGTATTATATTTATTTTTTAGCAAATATTGTGTTTTCCTAATAAATTTGTTAATTTTGACATATTTCTTATGCTTTTTTTTACTAAGAACTGGGTAAGAGGGTCCAGAGTCATCGCCAGTCAAATCAATTGTACAGATGTCATTTTTAAAGGCAGAGACTGAGGATACCATATCAGGTGTTTTCTCAACCAGTTCATTAAATAGACTCTGTGCTTGAGTGGCCTTTAAATTTAGGTTCTTATTCTCTAGTTGTAGAATGGTTTGTTGGCCATATTCAATTCAGACCTCAGCACAGCAGTGAGACCGAGGGCTTCCTCATACTCACCCCTACACTGATCAAACCCATCGACTATTTTTTGCAGATTATCATTATGTTCTATTAAGTTTATATATTTACAATGTAGGTTTGATAGTTCATTTTTTAATTGTTTATTCTTATTGATAATGTAAAAAAAAAACATAAAATACAAAAATAATAATAAAAATGAAAATAAAGGGAGAAGTTACAATCAACTAAGGAATAACTAAAATCAACCTCGTTTTAACAGGATTCTTATTCGCAAGAGATACTCATCGCGCGAGAGATTGCATCTGTTCAAGAATTCGTATGATCTATTCGACTTTATTATACAACTGATGAAGTGGCGATGCAGGCTTTGATGGTAAGCGCGCTAGCTCAGTAGAGGCCTATTCACTCTTGCCTTGAAGACGCCTACGATTTTTTTTTCAATGATTGAAAACTGGCAAAACCATTGACTGCTTTTTTTTTGTTCAGGGTATACTAACGGTGTGCATCCTCTTTGTTTCATCAAGGCCAAAAGAGCGTGTAACCTTTAGATGATGGAAGGAGAAGGCATGTGTAGTTCCTGCGCAGACGCATCTACAATGTTTTCTATAGAACACCGAAAGGTTTACTGCATAGATGCCGACTGCAAGCTCGAGACTAAACAGATTCTAAAGAGATTTCTAAGCAGAATCTTTCTACCCATATTATATATAAGCGCCGCCTGTACTCGTAGATTATCTTTGATTGCAATTCGTAGCAACAGCCTAAATAGTGAGACGTAAATCACATGGGACCAGTGTTAAATGTGAACACAGAGACAAGCCTTTTCAAAATTGTTATTGGAAAAAAATTTAACCTTGGTCCTAATGAGTAGTCCATATTTGTGTTGCCAGCGAACGTCGATTGCCCATTAACAATGTCAATAGTGAATTGACATTGAGAAATTGTTGAAACAGGTGAGTTTTAACACTAAGATATGACCGTCATGGTTAATTGTCGATTCACTGAACACTTGAACATACATAAATACATACGAAGCGTGACGACAAACGAGAGGAATGTGTTGGCATTATGGGGCAGTTATTGCCGTTCTTTCTTTATTTCAACTGTTAAACTTTCATAGCATTTTAGGGGCTTTCTCCAAGAGAAGTATCTGGCTGTGTTCTGAATATCGAGATATCGATTCTAACATCTCGATCCACATTCAAACGGCCATTACCACTAGTATCGAAAATGTAAGTGACAAAAGTTAAGTCTGGCCTGGAAAATTTCCATTATAAAATTAGGTACTCGTATACTTAATAACTATTCTATACCGACGGGAATGAAATCAAATGAATTGCTTACGAGAAAAAAATGGAAGTTTCTTATTTAAGATAAGACGGTTCCTATTAAGATACGTCAACCTTTAACCCATTTTTTTATTAAGATAACATGTTGCAATAACAATCAAAAGCAATGTGAATATATCATTATTATATTCTATTAGGTTATACTAATAATTTTTACTCGTCAAAACTGGTAATGCAAGATTACTTTTTCGTATAAATCCAATTTGAAGAAAACTAGATGACTTATTGAGGTAGCGACCCACTGTTGGTAGGATATAGTTGAACAAAATTAACATTTTGATCATAATATCAATTAATCATAAATCTACATTTATGACACAGCCATGTATCTCATCGCTTGTAGAAGCGATGAGATACATGGCTGTATCGTATGTTGTTAAATCTACAGCGCCAGAAGCTTCCAGCGAATCGATCAATACAGTCGAGCGCTCGCGAACTGGACAAAGGCTAGGCGGGGCCCGCGCTAGAACATGTTAACGAGACTAGTGTACCGAGACTACGCCACCCCTCGCCACCCTACGGGGTGGACCTACGCCCGTCGCGAAACGGTGCATTCTACGCATCAGTGGAGCGCAGTCTGGGGACCCCTCCCGCTGCATCGATTGCCCTGCGGAACATTCGAGAGCGTCCGGCGCCATTTTGATTTGCCGAGCCCATGTCTACCACGATGTTACGCAACCTAAGACTACGCCATCTCGCGTAATGACGCTTAATATGTCGACACAACCACTTTGATGACACAGTCAAGACATATCAAACGCATACAAGTGAGAAACTCTGAAAGATCTTAGGACTTATGCCCGGTTTCAGCTTCGATCCTAGCTTTAATGGACGCCTAAAAAAATAAGTGCTATTTTCGTTATCACCACCGCTTAAGAGCGTGACACACGTGTTGGTAGTGTTTTGGTGTCCCTTAAAGTTAGAGATCGATGGTGAAAATGGTCATAAGCGAATTAAAAAAACATGGCCAAACAAAAACTGGCCGCAAAAAACGAGCGATGTCTGGCTGCTGCGTCGCCTGTAAGTGTTTAGACGAGCACATTCCCAACTCACCTATGAAGCCCCCCGAGTTGAGGTACGGGCTGGGCACCTCAGTGTTGGGGTACATCGAGGCCAGCTTCGCGTCCGGCCAGCAGAACGGCTCGGCGGAGAACAGCACCCGTGTGCCCTCCATAGCCTTGAACCGATCCACGATAGAGTCCACACCACCCAGGTACATGACGTCATAGCTGCAACAAACGTCCCGTCAGCCACCTCGACCACTATGACTATCAAGTAGCGACCGACCCACCGCGCGGCTTTGTGTGGCCTTCGAATACAATCATCGAAATTATTTTTTGGCGTAAGTCGGGATCATGACAGCTAAATAAATTTGCTGTTATAAATAGTTTTCGTTAAAATTTAATTCGAAATGTATCCTGTCTTAGACAATGTTTTAGCTTGTTGTCCTAAGATACTTCAGAAAGGCTGCGAGTTTCGCGGGCCTCCCTAAGAAAAGATCGAGTTTGTACTCGTGTCAAATCGACAATCAGAAGGTAAGCGAAGGTCATACAAAGCTGGCAGTACTGTCGCATTGACAGAGGACTGTTCCAACCTGTCAGTGAAGAGGACAATGTGGTCCTTGTCCTTGGTCTTAATCAGCTCCGAAAGCTTCTCCTTCAGCAGGTTGACTTTCTGGCCGCCGCCAGCGTAGTTCATGTCGCCGCCGTTCCAGGTCTCTCCCTTGCCGAGCACTTCCACGGCCACACCGTATACCCTCGCTGAGCGCAGGAAGCGCTTGAACCCGTCATTCTCCTCAGTGGCCACAGTGAGTACTGTGACGTCATCTGCAAAGGGACGCTGAGGGTAGTAATATTTTTTTCTTCGAGGTTTTCTTAAACTACCCGCATTTCGAAGAAAGCTTCGATTCGTTGCTGCACTTTATACCCGCCTTTTGTTCGTGTATATTCCTAATGTATAAACAAGGCTTATGCTTCATCTCAAATATTGGGCGATTTTTATTATTTCAATTGAAGATAGTACACATTGAATATTAAAATTCATAAATAGAAGAAAAAGAATACGCAACATTGTAGATGATTGACCTCTTAGTGCCTTTACATAAATCCTTATCGCCGTAAGACCGCTTTTTGAAGAAAAAAACAACGAATATTACTTAAGACTACTAAGGTTGTAGATTATCAATGGATATTTTAAATAAATCCGAACAATAGGATCTAACTGCCGCGGTGGGCATGTAAATCATCATCAATCATCATTAACTGCATTCATAAAGCTTTGTTCTTGAATTTTGTAATGTGAATAATCACCTTAACATAAGTACTATACGCTCGGAGTTCATAGACAAAGAGGGTACATGTACTTATTATTTCGTGGCAAGTAAACTGTCCGAATCAATAAAGGGGTGCCGATATAGGGTGGGGCGGAGGGTTGGATGGAGGTTGTATCTGGAAACGAGACTAATAGCCGATAGAGTTATGATTTACCGAGACTAGTGGCCCCACCCAATGCGAGATCTAGTCTTGTATCCCACCCCCGCCCCCTCCCCTTAGCGCTCTGCGCATCGGTCAAACGCAGGTCGTATCCAGATCGGGCATTATTGATTTCCTACACCCGACAGCATTGCTAGCTCTATACATACATACATAAATGTACAGACATAGACAAAGGGTGTTCGAACATTAATGTAATATCTATTTTAAATATAAACATATTTTAGCCTTAGATTTTGGAGCATAAATTAAAACTTTTGCAGGAAGCCATGATGCGCGCGTATAATGCACTACCCACACATGAAATTGACACAGGACATCAAATTACAGAGATAATAGCTTTAGCATTGCGATTGCATTCTGTTGTGTTGTACAATACGTTAGTCATTGTGTACTGTAATTGAATAATCAAGCATGATTTTGAATTTTGCATTGCAAACTCCTTAGTACACTATCTAGTATTCCTCTACAAAGTTTATTCTTATACAATGAAACTGCTTATCGGCCATGATTATGATAAAATAAAATTATAAACATGATGAGAAGACTCTATGTCATAAACAAATTTTACTAGGAAGCTCACTCAAGCTAGATATTTCCAGAACTTAGACTAACGCGACAACGCCTAGGTATCGATAAGTTATCTTGAGTTTATGATAGATGGCGCTGTCCAACCATAATTTAAAATTTGATCAAAGTTGGAAAACAAAGGATATTAACAAAATGTATTAAGTATAAAATGCTAAAAGGCGTGAATTATAATAAATCCAAAACCTTGAACTGTTTTATAGTCAAATTAATTTGAATAAAATCAGAGTCGCGTGCTCTTAGATGAGAAGAGTATAAATTGATTTCATAAAGTTCCATTAGATGGCGCTATTGAATGCCAAAAAGTGGATGTTTGAAATATTGGTCTAATATTATTTTTTATCCCCAATGAAATAGCTCTGACCTTATATTTTATATACCTAGTTATGGCTTGGCAAAAACAAAAAGACATAGTTTAGACAACGTCCTAAAGTATATCTTTATTTCATGGATTATCACAATTTTCATATCTTTCATCAATCTTTTATTCTCCATTAAGGTATGTTATCAATGCCTAATTTACATTAGTGACAAAGAAAAAGCTATATTAATTTGATAAATTACTTTAGCAAAAAATACAACAAGCTCTTACTTTACTTTGTTTCAGTTGAGAAAAGTTTGTTTCAATTTGAACAAATAAGTCATGTTGGTAGCAAATATAACATACCAGAATGATAAAGGAGTTTTAAAAATAAGTCACGCACAGCATAGAACATACATGACTATAGACTCTCATGATTTAGGGTAACTGGGGGGTGGCTTACAAAATTGATAAACTTAATCGCACATAGCAATATTTACAATATCTTTATACAATGCAAAGAGCATACATTTCTTAGAACATAATGACTTAACCATTACACTAAATGTTATACAATAATAGTAATCCTATGTTATTTATAAATATTACACTAATGCTAAAACAATGCGCTGGCAAATATTTCTAGAATTTATGAGAAAGGTTATGCTTTGCAGAGATTGGTAAAATGAGTTTTAATGACTCCTGACCCAGATAATAATATTGGCATTCTACTAAACCTATACAAATTTCCAATGTTTCAATCTTTGTTGTGTACAACAATACAATTGTATGAAACAACAAAGAATATATTTGTGTATGTATAGTTGCAATACAACTAGGTGTACATTTAAGATGCTAAATAACTTGTTCTCGCTGATACCAAATAAATCGCCAGCACATTGTTGTAGGGATACTTACCAAGGGCTACAGCACTGGCCAGAAACAGGAACAGCGGGAGAAATATTAAAATCTTCATGGTGTCGAAATGTTACGCGTCGGGTCAATGTCCCAATAGAGCGAGCTTCACAACTTTGAAACCGAAACCCGCCGGCAATTCGTACAACGAAACATTACGCCCGATACATGGCACTTCCGAAACGATAAGCCCCGGCGGACATGTTTAAAAGTCCGCGATGCGATAACGCGACCTGTTCTCTACAGCGGTACGAACCCGACTGTGCCCGGTGCCCAGCCCGGAACGCCGGACGCCGCCGCGTCTGAGTTCCAGCCCGCGCATGTGGTTTAACGCTCTATCCCGCTACATTGATTTATTACAGATTGTATAAACAGTACACTGAGCACCCACTATTAACATATAGCCAGCCACCCCTACCCAGGATTAGGTAAAGACTAGACTTATTTTATGATCAACTTTTCGTCCTTCATGAATAAACAGGTTGTGCTACTTGTCTATTCATTTAGCAAATCTATAAATTCATATCATTTTTATTTAGTTTCCAAATCCCGCACTCAAAAATAAAAACAAATTTAATGTTTTGTTCGATATCTTTAATCCTTCACCGCTAAAAAAATCTATCTGACATTTAATTTGACATATGAGCAACATTGTAATCATAAGGAAAGACGTATTCGGTTTGCTATAATTCTAATAGATGGCGAGTTTGATTGGTTTTTACCATTATTAGTAATTAATATTAGACATGTAATTTTAATCATTTCAATTATTTATTTACTGCAATATTAATTCTCAAAATGTGTACTCTGTACAGATTTAAAGGTATTATTTAATTTAGCGATAATGCTTATTATTGAATGGTTAAATTAAACTGATCCTGATTAGAACTTACTTATATTTAGGCTTGCCTATATGAGTTAACTAATAAAAATCGTTATAAATTTTTATGTGCCGGTCGTTAAAGAGTAGATAACTCAGTAATTTTTATATTTAGACATTAGCAATGTTCCGGTAGCTATAGCACGGGGAACTAACTATAATGTGTCCTAGTGATAAAATACATTTTTACCGTTGTATAATTAGATGGGAAATCAGAATAGTGTTTAATTGACGCTCTGGTTTAAATAAGAATTGATCGTTAAAATGTGTAATATTTTAAAAAATACCGGCCAAGTGCTAGTTGGACTGGCGCACGAAAGGTTTTATTATTATGTATAAAAACGGCAAAAAAAAAACTCATGTCTAAAAGTATGGGAGCTCTACTTGTTATAACGTTGTTATTGTTATAACGGCAACAGAAATACATCATCAGTGAAAATTTCACTTGTTTAACTATCACGGTTCATGAGATACAGCCTGGTGACAGAGGGATCAGCAGACCAATCAAATAATCGCGAGCAACCGGTCAATACAAAAAGCAAAGTGACGTTCGTTGTAGCGTTCTTAGGGGAGGCCTTCGTTAAATAGTGGACGTTTTCCGGCTGATGATGATGATGAAGAAACTTCAAAGATTTTTATATATTATATCAAATTATTATGATTTATGATTATGTATATATATATATATATATACATATATATCATATCATATATATATATATATATATATATATATATATATATATATATTACAATTACAATTATTATCAAGTTTTAATGTTTAATCTTAAGTGCCGAGATTAGCACTATAAAAAAACTTTAAATTTTTTATTTATAGTAACTGTAGTATAGTAGAAAAGCTATAATATTAAAAAGTAGGTAAATGATAAGTTTCATCTTGAGTACAGCTACAAACACCAAAGGTAAAATTAATCATAGCCTATAAAGAAGTTTTCTTTAGACAAATTTGCAGTTTACGCAATACATATATTATGTACTAGCTTTTACCCGCGGCTTTGCTCGCGTTGGAGCCCTTAAATAAATATATTTTTTTTTTCAAATCTATTTTTTTAATAATAATAATTTTTAATATCTCTGAGAATATCTGTACACAGTTTCACCACAATCGGTTGAGTAGTTTTGGCGTGAAAGCGTAACAAACAAACTTACATTTACATCTAAAACATTAAGTAGGGATAGTAGGGACACACCGACCGGTCACGACTAAAACTCAAATAACAATTCAGAAATCGGGCGTAGGTAAATTTTTGCAAATGGCGCTCTTCTTTCTTGCAAGTTCTGACATTGTTATCCAAGTATATAAACAGTAAAATGGAATAGTAATATTTATACGTAAGAAAAAGCTGCACAACTATATACCGAAAAGCAATAAGTACTTTAATAATGGTTAAAGTAGTTAAAAAAAAACTCCAAAAGTTAAAAAATAAAAATTATGTTCAAAAAAATTGGGTAACTATTAATTTTTAAAATTTTATTATGTGCAAAATAAAATTGAAATTAATATCTTATCTTTCACAGTCCATACCAAAGTTAAATCACAAGAAGCATTATTTGTTATGCAATCAAAAAAACACAAAATAAGTAATAAGGAGTCACAATTTTAAAACCGAAATTTCACCAAACTCAAGTTGCAGACGCAAGGTAGGTACCTAATTTTAATAAGAATTTGCGCGATAATTGAATTCAAAATTCTAACTACAAACATGAATACAATCACGGCAAGAAAAAGACCTAAGTGGTCTTTTAATAATGTAGTGTAGCGAATATTGTTTCCCGCCGAGTTTCTTTCGCCGGCTTTTCTTTTCCGAACCGGTAGTATTTTGACAATCAATAAGTGAGTGTAATGGCCCTATTTTGAATAAAGGTTTTTGAAATTGAATTTGTAACATTTTTTGGCGCTCTCTTTGAAATTAAGTCTCACTTTCGATATAGCAACTTAAACATAGTATATTCTCTTTTATTGACACTTTTTACACATCGAGTACAACACTACTTATACTTATCTCTCCATCCTAAGTTTATTCAGATAGATACAATAATAAATATTTTTTTTAAGTTTGTTTAATCTGTTTTTAGAACTGAAATGTTTTTATAATTAAATAACAACATGGGAATAAAATATATCAGATTTTATTAAAAACTAAAAAAAAATCATTCGAATAATAAAAGATGGGAAAACGATATACACATGGAAAAAAAATCCTTTTATTCGATGTATTATTACAAGGGGGCGTCCATTAACTAGGTGAGGCGTTTAAGGCGAGCCAGACCTCACCCAATCTCATGTGGGGGGAGACCTCAGAAATTATCCCGTAATTTTTTGCAAGCTATGTTGTAAAATTGCGAATAAAGTGATTTAAAATTAAGTGAAATAGTTTCTCTAACGTAAATAAATAATATAGGTATGCAATATTTATCGCGATTATGCGAATGCCACGAAAAGGCACAATAGCCCTTCGATTTTTGGCCGCAATGGGCTAGCAAAACGCGAACGCTACGAATGTCACGGAGTACAAGCCGCGAGGATAGGTGCTCCGAAATGGAAAACTCTGACCCTCGTGATCAGTGACGATGAAGGATAAAGTCACGTCGAACTCCATAACATCCGCTGTTCATCCCACTCCGGCATTAGTCAATTTGAAGAGAAATTTTGCATATTGCCCGAAATCTAGCTAGGATTCGAAGAAAAGGCGCAAAAGGGTCTCTAATCACAGACTTAAATAGAAATATTTAATCAATTATGTTTCCTTTTTTTTTGAAGCCAACAAAATCATGCACAGATTTACTTACTTACGTTAAATATTATGCATTTTGAAAAATATGAAGGCCTTTTAAACGGATGCCTTTTAAACGTTGTAGTAGTAAACGCAAGCAGATTATTATAAATATTTAATGCACGTGTTACAATTTTATTTTTAAAATATAAAAAAAAAACTATTTACCTCTATGGAAAAAGTTATGGCGCCTACAGCCAGTCTCTTGCGAATCTAGTGTACAAAACTCTTCGGACGATGTTACCGCGGGCAACGCCAATATTGCCAACATGCAGAACAAAAATGTATATCGGCCGCAGTGTTTTGCGGACATCTTACCTCCAAAGGCTCTGTCCAACGAATACAGGGTTTCGACCGATACACTTTATCACGTCGATTACGCCGAACACGGTGAGAGCCGAGGCTTATTCATCGTCGCCGGAAAAAAATAACTTATTGAGCGTACCGTGAAATGAAAGCGATCCGAATCTGAAATTTCGTGTCTTTGGCACGAAACGCGAACAATCTATAAAAGCGCGCGCGCGTTTTCTTGGCTGCTTTATTTTTGTTAAAGTTGAACATTTTATGGTGTTAGTTGTCGAAATAACAGAACTTCGAAGGGTTTATTTATTATGTTACTTTTTCTTTCATCGAATATTATTCGTGTATAATAATAACATTTCTATCAATCCTTCATTCTGATTACTGTGCAAATGGGCGCGTCAATAAATTTAGAAATAACTATCACTCTATTCACGAGTCTAATAAATAACTTAATAATTATCTATTAAAGTTAGCCTTGCAAGATGTTGACTGATACTTTAAAAATCTGTTTGAGCAACTGTTGGGTACTATATAGTATTTAGACGATCTTCAACATATTCGTTTCGTTATAACATATTTTCAAAATTGAAAATTAACTGCAATGTCGATTATTAGATACGGCTTGTAGCTAGTCATTCAGAAATTTAGAATAAGTCTTTTTACGACAAATAACTATTGTCTACCAAAGTGTGTTTAGTCCATGGGCGACGGTCGCTTGCTCCTTTGCCTGGTCAGATAAAAAAGTGAACATAAAATCATTTCATTTATGGAGGACGATCATTACCATAAATGATATCCACCCTTTTCTTCGCACAAGAAAATAATTCGCGGAAGCTTTTAAAAGCGTTCCGCCTTTTTGGTACCTTCTCAAGCTTTAGATAGATCAAATGGCGTACCTAGCATCTTACGGACGCGGCCATTACAACTAGGGATGTGAAATACGACGCGATATATAGATTTATCCATACTTATTAAGATTTCCTATACTTACAAAAATATCGCTATAAATATCGTATCATCCAGTATCTAATACTCTGTTTTAATTTTTAGATTTACATCACACGTTAACGAAATATTGGTATAAAAACCAGATCTTTTGGACATCGTATTCGTAATAACAACAGTTTTCAGCTAGATACACACTTTCGGAAAGTATAAATGAGCTCTAGTCCACAGTGCTTATCAAAAGCATTAATTTTACGATGATTTTTTTTAGATACAATGCTATACGGTTTATCGATTTAAATACCTAAATATATCGCGTTATAATTTTTTTTATAATTGCTGATGTATGCAACGATAATTATTTAAAAATAATATGTCGGGAGTTTAAATATAAAGTTAATTCAATAAATCATTAAAAACGGTTTCATATAAATTTGATCCAATCGATCCATCCAATACAGTTACGACGATATGTCAATATAAAGGGATACGATGGTATTGCGTATCGACCAACGAGTAATTCACGTGTAATAGGAGAGGGACAAACGACTTAGGTACGTTCGACACAGAGCTACTCTATTCACGTGTTAGTTTGTAGCTCAGCGTTTGTGTGTGCCTAGAAGTAGTCGAAGGAAAGAAAAAAAAGGAAAGCAACAGTCTATAAATGTCCCACACCTGGGCAAAGGCCTTCTCTGTACAGAGGGAATCAGGGCATAGTCTACCACGCGGCCCCACTGCGGCTTGACGGACTTCACATATCTTCGAAATATATATATTTTTTGTTATTATTTCGAAAGTATGCAGGTTTCCTCGCGATGTTTTCCTTCACCGCTGAGCACGTGATAATTCGGCACTTAAAATTACTAGTTATTAATTTCATTGTTGCCGGCCCCGGGGATCGAACTCGCGTTGACAATAAGCTATCACAGTAGTCGAAGGTTTGACTTCATATTTTGACATGTTGCATCAGAAGAACCGCGTGTTTCTATAGTGAAGTAAATTTATGACACAATTTGTTTTTTTTATTTTTTTTTTAGTTTTATTCACAGACGTGCAGACAGAAAGAGACAACAGTTGTTGTGAAGGGACTTAAGGGATTTCATAATGTCATTATGCACTTTAATATATTAATTTCATTCTAAGATGACTCGATGGCGCAGTTGCAAAGCTATTAGCTTCAGCGTCGGGGGTCGTGGATTCGAATTCCCACACGGGACAACTATTTGCGTGATAGATAGTTGTTTCGCATTTCGGTGTAAATTTCACGTGGACAGTGAAATTTATGTTTGTAAAACGTCTTTAAGGCACAGGATAATGTTATCCTAAAGTAAGGGCAATGTTTTTAAAAAAATATATATAATAGAAAAAAAAAATAATTGTCTTTTTAGGCAGTAAAAATACAAGTTTATAACTTTGACTGTACAAGTATTGTATATCAAATTAAATTCATCGTTCTCACCCGTCATGTTTGTTCGCCACCATAGTACGAAATAAGGGAATTGAACTATTTATTCGTTTCAGTGAATCCGATACTCTTATTTTATAACAGACTGAGTCACATTGAGCCATTGTCTGGTTTAGCTAGTTCAAACGAACTGTGTTTGCGTTGAAAAACCTCGGTGAAAGTCAACGTTATTGGCACAACAGATTCGCTTGAACGAGCAACCGTTGAACCGTTTCCAACTCTACTTTTTGTGGTTGAGATGCAGGATGACTTTCCTGAGACTAGCGTTGTGTCGAAAGTATAGGCGCAATTTCATGCGCAATAAAATTCAAATTGGCAGGACAGTTTTGAAGCGTCTGCCTCTAAACTCTCTCGTCTACGTGTCTCCGTAATCACAGAGTTCGGACGGCTTCTTAGTAGGCAAAAAAGGGGTGTGAATAACGCCGCAATGTGTTTAATGAGGTAATTTGTTAGAGATTCGGTTGAGCACCATGAATTGAATGTCTAAAACATTACTTACAATACCATTTGACAGTCATACATGTAATAAAAATACAACGATCGTTGTCTATAAATTGAAGATATTAGAGAAAAGCTGTTGTTGGGGGTGTTTATACCTAATAAATGCGTGGGCCCACATTCCTACTTCTTCTGAAATAATATAAAACAGAAGTTTACATACTTCTGTTTTAACTCATATATAAATGGCGCAGAGTTACAAAAAACTGCACTCTTCTTCAGAAGTAAAATGCGCTACTCTATCTTACTACCAAATTGGTGCTTTCGCCTTGATAAATTGGCCGTATGGGTGGCTAATACTACGTTTTCCTTTCAGATCCATTTTTACATATTTTTGAGATATTCTTGATGATTTTCTAAACAACTGTATAACTTTCATTACATTTCTATAACGGTACTGAACTTTATATTTGTATCAAAATTTGATGGGGTTTCCCAATGATGTTTTAATAAAGTTTGATACGGAAAGAGGTAGCAGACTAATTAATTACAACAATTAGTGTATGTCATTGGGGCTTCCTCTGCTATTTTCAATCCGTCAGTGCCAAGAACTTCATCCTCTGCAGACTCATTCTTTTACTTAGTTCTTGGAGTTTTGTACAAAATTTATGCACAATGGCGAATTTTAGACCATGGAGCCAAGCAAAGGTGATGAGTATAGTTTAAATTTTGTCCAAGTTTTGTCATGACATCATTTATTAGAGGTTACTGAACCATTTGTCCCCACTGACCACTGTCCACCCCTGATTTCTCAGGGTATGATGAGTTTTAGAAATTTACAATGAATATTAACATTCAGGTATCTCCTATTCCTAGAAGATGGCCATTCATCTAGCGAGAAACAAAACTTATGTCCAACATTTTAGCCCCCCTAAATACTTTAATTAATTCTACTCGGTCTTATTCTAATATTAGAGTAACGCATTTTACATTGTGTTCCAATAAAAAAGATACTTCGGGTCTTCAAATTCCGTGCACGCCTGAAAGGGCGTTCTATCTAGTGCATCAAGCGATCTTTTGGATTCTGTGGTGAAGTCGGAGATTAGCTTACCCTACTGATAGAACGATGGGGGAAGTTTATTGGCCTGACAGAATATTAGTTTTAAGTAGAAACGTGAGGTTACACGCCTCTCCGCTACCGTAATTTGGGTAATAGCACACCAATTTAAGGCTGGAACGCCGGCGGCATGGTTGTCCATAAAAGGTGGGATTGTTCATCTTTAATAGAAAATACCAGAACGTAGTAGCATATCGAACAGCGAGGAATTGGAAAGCGATTAAATCGAACAAAAGAAAACTGTGTCGCAATACGAAGCGCTTGTGGTGCTTCAGTAAATTGCGATCCAATTAGTCAGATGGGATTATTGGCTGTAGCCCACATACTGGACTTACAGCGCTGCCATTAGTCAGCCGACCTCCACCATAGACGGACCCACAACCAGCCGCAATGCCGAAAGACGACCCCGAGACGACCGCCCTGAAGAAAGAGCTGACGGATCTGATAGCCAAAGTCAAGGTATCTCTGCAATCTTTGAGTGTAGTTTTGGCGAATTGTCCTTACAACAAGGTTATGATACGAGTACTCCTCCATTATAAACATGTCTTTAACATAATTATAAGGAGTTTTGATACTATCCTACGGCTTCGCTTCTGATATAAATAAGTTAACAAAGTTTTGTTTGCGTTCCTTACATTTTAAACAAGCATTTGCTAGTGGCTACTGGATTTGCTTATCTAATATTAGTATAAACTTCTACCTCATCATTTTTGCTTATTATTTGTTTATATTTGAGAAAAGTTAATAATTTAATGAAGTCTCGAACTAACCTCTTCAACGACCTCAAAAAGATTATTTTTCAAAAGACCTCCTTCTATGCATAGAAGTCTAGATAGAAGATAGAAGTTTTTTGGTTTGTTATGGACCAAAAAATTCATATACTGTAAAGTGTCGGAGCCGTGAAATTTCATTGTCCGGGCGTTCGCTTTTAATTCAACACATTCGAGCGACCGATCGATCCCCGGTACCAGCACCAATGAAATTGTTAATTTTAAGAGCTGACTTATCACGTGCTCAACGGTGAAGGAAGAAATCGTCGAAACGCCTCATGTTTTTGAAATTACAAGAAAAAAAAATATTTCGAAGACATGCGAAGTCCGCCAATCTGCAGTATGGCCGCGTGGAGGAATATGCCCTACCACCTCTTGTACAGAAGAGGTTTCTGCTCAGCAGTGGGACATATAAAGGCTGTTACATTACATTTTTACTTTTACTCTGAAGTGCATCTACAGCTGTTGAACTTTAAAATTTTCTCTGCATACAATCCTCTGCAAAACTCACTGCACTGCAATCAGGCGCCACGGCGCAAGAATGTTGTGAAATATAGCAAATATTTCTCTGTCTACAAAGTGCCTTGCCAGCCCCTTTTCTCAAGGCGTTTCTGGAAAGTTCTACATCATAAATTCTCACTGTCAGGCGGCGCAAGAGAAGGTGGCCGACGCCAAACTAGCCGAGAAGTGCGGCGATCTTGGTGATGTCCCCAAGATACGCTTCGTGACGAAGAAGACCCTTAAAGGTCACATCAACAAGGTCAACTCCGTCCACTATAGCGGTGACTCTAGGTAAGAGCAACTTGAAAGACCTGCCTATTGAGAATAAAACTACCACGTCATTACTATGCATCGCTATGGCCTAGAATTGATTATGGCTCCTGAGCTCTTTTTATAATGAATTGTGAATACGAAAAATTAAGACAATTTTACTCTAAGTAGATGTATTGTTTTAATAACATGAGAACTATTTTATGTAAATGCATATAATACATCGGCTCAGGGTCGTAATTCGTGGCAGTCTATGGAGGAAGCCTATTTTTAGCAGCGGACTCAAACAGGCTGAAATGATGATGATGATGATATAATACATACAGTGGTATTACATACAACTACGAGGTAGATATGACACTAGCGTACCGAGAGTCTAATTACACCAATTGGTGAAATATAGATTTCAATTCTATAAAATGCTTTCTTTTTCCGCATCATTCGTTCTATGTCATCTATCACATTTACCTATATATACAACATAATGTAAAGCGGAACGATTTTAAAACGCAAAGTATAGACATGCGTCACCTTTATTAAAATTTCATTATTTACATCTCGCAACAATTAAACGTTAAATTATCAAAATTCTAAACTTGAAATGCAAAGAGTTTGACAATAGGATCACATATATTTTAATGTACTGCAACGTGAGACTTCCTGGCTAATATATCTGATATCTCTGATTTGTTGAAACACCGTTCCCTGATTTACATATACTTAGTATAATATGTTAAATTAAACATTTACAAGATATCGAATTATTGAAGTAGACGCTTACCTTATCAATGCATTAAAACAATTATCGAAAAGTCGTGCCCGTTAACTTTAGAGCGTGTAAGGTTTGCACGGTTAGATAGATTCTGTTTACTTTGCACGCCGATTCTTCTAACATTCCATATACATTATAACGTTGGCCAGCTGATGATGACGATTCTAATGCGCCCACAAATATAGTAACGACCATTGACAAATTTACTGACAGAATTGAGGAATACTTAGTCGGTAATTCTAATTAAACTTAGGTTATGATATTTCTGAACCTGTAGATGATAAATCTGTCTCACCGCCCGCATCAATGCGAGACATTGATTTCTGAACGTAAGGAATCAGAAAATTTAAGTCTTTAGACAATGCGATATAGGAACATATAATATATTGAAGGAAGCTACCTGATCGTGAGACACTGACAGTACTGGCCAATTTTGTTCTAAATATCTTTGCGAAAAAATATCATTTGAACAGTACAGTTATGATGTTTAAATTTCTAATTAATTTAGAAATCAGAGCCACGCGTATGTGCTATTTAGTAACCCATTTTGAATTACTTGGTCATCCCGTCAACTAACATTCCTCGTTAGTCTAATCGGTGTGGCGTTAATCTTGTTTGTATCGGTTTCAATCTGAGCACGTATATATGACCCGGTACCGAGTATAGTAATAGTAGGTACCAGGTGAAATGTAACTAATACTGGAGCAAAATTGACTTAATATATAACGAGTGCCGGAGTAAGCTTAATGACGCTAGTATCTAGAACAGCGAGTAAGTTGATCCCAAACCAAGACCTGAAATAATATAGTATAAAAGTATAAAATGACTACAAGAAGCCTTTTCGATTCCCGAGTTTGTCGTCCCATCGGCAATGGGTCGCGTGGTGAACTATGTCCTAATACCCTCCGTACACAAGAAGCCTTTGCCCAGCAGTAGTAAATGTATAGGCTGTCATTTTTTTTACTTGACCATTGACAAATTTACTGACAGAATTGAGGAATACTTAGTCGGTAATTCTAATTAAACTTAGGTTATGATATTTCTGAACCTGTAGATGATAAATCTGTCTCACCGCCCGCATCAATGCGAGACATTGATTTCTGAACGTAAGGAATCAGAAAATTTAAGTCTTTAGACAATGCGATATAGGAACATATAATATATTGAAGGAAGCTACCTGATCGTGAGACACTGTCAGTACTGGCCAATTTTGTTCTAAATATCTTTGCGAAAAAATAACATTTGAACAGTACAGTTATGTTGTTCAAATTTCTAATTAATTTAGAAATCAGAGCCACGCGTATGTGCTATTTAGTAACCCATTTTGAATTACTTGGTCATCCCGTCAACTAACATTCCTCGTTAGTCTAATCGGTGTGGCGTTAATCTTGTTTGTATCGGTTTCAATCTGAGCACGTATATATGACCCGGTACCGAGTATAGTAATAGTAGGTACCAGGTGAAATGTAACTAATACTGGAGCAAAATTGACTTAATATATAACGAGTGCCGGAGTAAGCTTAATGACGCTAGTATCTAGAACAGCGAGTAAGTTGATCCCAAACCAAGACCTGAAATAATATAGTATAAAAGTATAAAATGACTACAAGAAGCCTTTTCGATTCCCGAGTTTGTCGTCCCATCGGCAATGGGTCGCGTGGTGAACTATGTCCTAATACCCTCCGTACACAAGAAGCCTTTGCCCAGCAGTAGTAAATGTATAGGCTGTCATTTTTTTTACTAAGAGTTCTCTTAGTTTACGACATAAACACTCTTAATAGTTAAATGCCGAAGGTATCATATTGTTTCTGCTAACCGCCTAACTCACGAGACATCTGATTAATACATTTGGGCTCACCTTGCCTAAGCCGATTTAAACATGAAAATGTTGACAATAATGAAACTGACGGCTGGGCTGAAGAAATATTATCGCTTGCGCCCATTTTGATCGTTTTCTGCGGCGACTTTAAAATCATTTTACAATTACGTCGCGTTTTTGGAGGTCGTTGACACGGTTGCAACAACAGTTTTGGCTATTCGCTTCGTTGCGTTGTTTATGTAATGTTGTTGCCTTGCTTTTTGCAAAAAAAAATAGCATGTGAACAGTTCTCTCTCCGACAGCAGCAATGAACTAACATCAACAGTTCTAGAAAGTGCCGTTAGAAGCCAAGCTGCGGTAAATCGAAAGTTTGTTAGGCTTCGAGCTAATCCTTGTAATGATGACAGGATTTGGATTGACTTATATGACAAAATCAGTCATGTTTATTTATTTATTTATATAATTATGTAATTATAGAGGAAGACCAGTTTGCATTAACTAACCAGGTGTTATAAAGGTTCACCACCTGCCCTTGTCTAAGGCTTATGAGGTATAGCTAGTTGTGCTAACCAAAAGGTTAGGTGTGTTTACGTTCACCATAGACGTTTACCCGCAGGCACTGCGTCACCGGCTCCCTGGACGGTAAGCTCATTATTTGGGACACTTGGAGCGGGAATAAGGTCCAGGTCATCCCCCTACGCTCCGCCTGGGTGATGAGCGTCGCCTTCGCACCTTCGGGAAACTTCGTTGGTGAGTAAACTTTAGATTTCATAGTTCCCCCCAGAACTTTTTTACTCCTTAGTGTGCGGGTTCTCTCAGGGTGTTAACTTTGGGCCACTGTCCTTACGTGACTATCAGGGTTTAGTTATATATTAATGCATATATTACAATAAAACAAAACAAGGTGACAGATACATAGAACTTTAACCGCTAGGGTAACTTTTAACTTCTAATTCTGATATACTATGGCGTACGCAATCAATAAGTAAGTTTTTTTCTTAATTTCACTCCGAAAATTTAAATTGTAAATTTGGTAGATACACGAACAAAAACTTTCAGCGCTGTGGGATTGCTATTGAATTTTTAGCAATGCTTGGCTTGCTCCAGTGTGCATTCTTTAACAATCACCTAACAGAAAAACTTCCTTCCTCTTTATTTTGGAAAGCACTTACTCCGAGTGAATTGTGAAAGCTAACAGATATTCGCCGATTGGCCTGGATGACTAGATCTAATCTCCTCTGAAAACTCACTGTGTTATTAAATAAAGTACACTTTATTCAGTAAGTAATAAAAAAGGATAATGTCCGTTTGTACAACAAGAGCTTTAGATTTGTCTAAAATATAAGTTTCCTTCTTATAAATTGTAAACAAATAACTCCGTGGCGCAGTCGCTAAGGTATTGGCTTCGGCGACGGGGGTTCGATTGCCACACGGGACAATTACTATTTGTGTGACGCACATATATTTGTTTCGATCTGGGTGTTTGTCCACTTGCAATTTATATTTGGAAATGCCCTCACAACGCAGGATAATGATATCCAAAGTAAGGGAAATGTTATAAAAAAATTCGAGAACTGTATCAGCACTGACTTCGAACTTTTCTTTGGCAGCGTGCGGGGGCATGGACAACATGTGCACGGTTTACGACGTGAACAACAGAGACGCTACGGGTGCCGCGAAGATGGTTCGCGAACTGGCCGGTTATGAGGGCTTCCTGAGCTCGTGCCGGTTCCTCGACGACACCCACATCCTCACCGGCTCCGGCGACATGAAGATGTGAGTTCGACGACCCAACTGGCACAGTGGATACTGGCCCTGCCTCACGCGCCAGACGGTGTGGGTTCGATCCCCAATACTGGAGAATTTGTGTGCTGAATTTAGTGTTTTTCCAATGTCTATAATATGTATTTATGTTTTGTAGAAATATGTGCCGAAATATATTATATTAAAAATCCACCACCACACAGTATAATCCACCCTGAAGAAGTAGACAAACTGTTGACTCTCCGTCTGTCTGTCCTATGGACATGAATGATAACTCTCCGTTAGATGACTCCGTGGAGCAATTGTCAAAGTATTGGCTTCGGTACTGAGAGTTTTGTGTTAGATTCCCACACGGGACAATTATTGTTTGTGTGACCCACTGATAAATATATCGGACCCGGGTGTTTGCAATGCGGCTGGCCTGCCTTCATCCAACTTGGCACTTAGTTTTTCGAATTATAAAGCACTAGCTAATGCCAGGATTAGTAATTCGAGTAGCTTATTTATTATTTATACACTTTCTTATTTTTTTATATTGTGCAAACGAGCTGAAGGTTCACCGACGTTGAATGATAACCGTCGCCCATTGACATTTGCAACACCTGAAGCGCGGCAGATGCGTTGCCACCTTTTAATAAAGCCGTGGCCCGGCTACCACACTCACAGAAACGCAGACGTGTAACACTGTGAGCTCGTGGTACGGGTACCACGAGCTCACAGAAGACCATCGGAGGATGGACCTGGACATCCGTGTGACATGCGGATACGAACACTGTCGCGTGGCCTATTCACATTTGAATTGTATGTCATGTTTATATACGAACAAAAGCCGGTCTTATGACGAAACACGAATGTTAACAAGTGTCTAATCTGAAGGCGTCTTCCCTTCAAATTAAACACTTGTGCACACACACGCACACACACACACACACACACACAGTGAATGAATTTTACAGCTGCGTTTGGGATTTGGAGGCCGGCAAAAGGGAGATGGACTTCAACGCACACGCGGGCGACGTAGTCAGCATCTCGTTGGGACCGGGTAACGATAACGTTTGGCAAGAAAATATGGTGGTCAGGGTAACGATACATCGGAACTTTTGGAGTTATACCCCTTTCGGTGCGTTTGGCAAAAAAATATGGCAGAGACTAGAACTTTTACACACTGCCAACAAGCGACATGTTACCATGACAACCAGTACCAATTATTTTTACATTTACTTATAATTCCGAGTCGTTTAATTCAACCGTCATCAATTGCATTTGATGACTTTTCCACAAACAAAGAGCACTGGGCATAGGGAATAATTTATTTTTACTTTTCTTTTGTTACGCTCAAGAGGTATAGCTTCTTACGTGCGTACATAAGTACACACATGTTCTTTATGACATGTATATATATATATATATATATATATATATATATATATATATATATATATATACGAATACGAGGTCGATATATGACACTAGCGAACCGGAGGCACTCAAATGACGCCAATTGTTGTAATTACACTATAGACTGCTATCTCTTCAGTATCATACGTTCTATATCATCTGTCACATTTAATTAATGTCCTATAATGTAAAGCGAAACAATTTTTAAACGCCGCACAGTATGTCCATACTGTGCTGCGTCATGCGTCATCTTTGTTGACACATCATTGTGTATTACATGCGAATTAAGTAACGGCCGGTTTCAATTCTATCCAATGATGTTTAATAATATATATAGATGACGTACGTCCATACTGCGCGGCGTTAAAATTTGTTACGCTTTATATGACATCCCAGCTGTTAAACGCGGCTTTCAAAGATCAAAGAGATTTAACTATGAGTTTTTATTATACACCAGAATAGCTCGCAGATGGCATAATTTTGTATAATTCACAAAATATCTTTAATAATTGTAGCCTATGTGTTATTCTAATGTATTAGCTATATGATTGTAAAGTTTCATCAAAATCTGTTCAGTAGTTTTCAGTACTGTTCAGAGTAACAAACATCCATCCATATATACAAACTTTCGCGTTATTAATGTTAGTAAGGATAAAAATGAATGTGACATATATATGATATAGAACTTATAATACCGGAAGAGATAGCAGTCTATAGAATTACACTAATTAATGTAATATGAGCGCCATAGTTTAGTTGCGCTAGGGTCATATCTACCCTCTATTTGAATAAAATATCATGGATTCTATCTATCTATAGATTTGGTTACTAGCGATAGGTATTCGTCATTAGCTTCATAATACCTACTTCAAAAATTCTATCTCCAGTAATCAGATCTACAGACAGATTGAAAACGGCCGTTACTAGCGACTGATCTTCAGGACGTTTTCCTTTCTCGCTCATTTTCGGCTGTCTCTCTGCCGTGGGCATGTTTGTATATCAGAACCACACGCCCTCCAGAAATGAAGACCTACGTCACCGGCTCCGTGGACCGCACGTGCAAACTGTGGGACGTCAGGGACGAGAAGGCGAATCAGACGTTCTTCGGCCACGAGGCAGACGTGAACAGCGTCTGTGTGAGTATTGTCTCGTTTCTTCCCTTTTCGTTTTCTTTCTTTTATTCGGAACTGGCCGGCGAAACATTTATTATTTGAATTTATTTATTATAGAATTAGAAAGAGAGCGAAGTATTTTGACACGTATGTCCCACCGCTGAACAAATCCCTGCTGTAGAGGGCGTTAGGGCATAGTACACCACGCGATCCCGTTCCACATATCTTCGAAATGTTTTTTTCTTGCATGCAGGTTTCCTCCCGATGTTTTCCTCGAGTGATAAGTCAGCCCTTAAAATTGCCATCAGTAATGGTAATTTAAATGGCCACAGTTTTAGTTGTGCCGCCGCCGGTATTTGAACTCGACTAACTCGAGTATCTATATAAAATGTTGTTATATCTTCATGTAAACTCATTAATGTTTTAAGAAACCACGTGTTCAGTCACGAGCGCTTTCGTGCCGTGCTACATAAAATACGTTGTTAATATGACAAGCAACGCACGCTAAGTCGCGGATAACAGTTAGTATCTTATCCTTTTAACGAGCAATTCTTGTATATATATAATCGGAATCTCGGAAACGGCTCCAGCGATTTTCATGAAATTTAGTATGTGCTTAGATTCGGGGGCGAAAAATCGATCTAGGTAGGTTTCATTTTTAGAAAATGTCCTTTTACCCCTGTTTTCAGGGAATGAAAAATATAATTCGAATATGACGGTAAATTTCGCCGCAAGAGAAAATGTCGTAATAGCTCGGTCGGTAATCGGGCAGCCCCAAAACAGACGGCCGTGGTTCGCGTCACGATCATTTCCCCTTTTTTTTTTACTTTTTTTTCGATTCCAGATCATTGCTTTCTTTATTTTTATTTTTTTGTCGATTTGTTATTTTGTTATTTTTTCCTTTTTTTTTTAAGTTCTTTCTTTTGTGAAAAACATCAGTTCATATTTTCTTATAATTACGTCGGTACGATCGAAAAATATTATGCATATTTCATTACTCAGTAATTTGTATCTAAATGTAATTTCCAAAATACACGATTTACCAAAAAAAAAAACAAACCGAGCAAAGCTCGGTCCTCCGGGTACTTTCTTTTTATGTGAGAAGGTGGCAGGTGAGCTTGTGGTTCACCTGATGTCATTTGATAATCCCCGCCCATTGAATAGACGTTGCAACACCCGTAGCGTTGCAGATGCGTTGCCACCTTTTAATAAAGTGGGCCCCGGCTACCTCACTCACCAGACGAAACGCACAAGTATAACACTTCCACTTCACGCCGGTCTTCTGTGAGGTCGTGGTACTTCCCCGGAACTGTCAAATACCACAGTTAATTTATTATTGAATAATAGAAACCTAGCGCCCTGACGCAGAATCACAGCTCTCCCGCTGTTTATACACAAGCCGGATTGATTTTACGAAATTATATATCAATACTAGCTGCTGCCCGCGACCACGTCTGCGTAGAGGGGTGAAAATTAAGGGTTGTACGTATTGTTGTATGCTGTATCATAAAAAAATAAAAACAAAAATATTTATATCAAAAATGTAAACCAACCTTAACATTTAGAGGGATGAAAAATCACAATCACACGAAAATCGGTCGAGCCGTTTCGGAGGATTTCAGTCACAAACACCGTGACACGAGAATTTCATATATTAGATTAGCTAGGTATCATCGGAAACGTCCGTAATACTGTTGGACATTAGTGCTGTACAATGTGTGAAATTATTTATGCCGTTCACGCGCACGTCGCTCGCTGGGGTCTTCTACACTGCCGTAGAAGTCGGGCAAGTGCAAGTGTGGGCGGCTGAGAATCGAACCCTGGGCTTTGTATCAGGGGCACCAACCCCCCGGGAAATATCGCCTTCATATCCGCACGGACAGTATGCAGAAGACAACGCGTGAATTCTTACAAAAGCGCCCTTAACACAAATGTCAATATATCGTTCGACGTGTATGTAATGTTGCATTATTCATTTATTTTTTAATTATTATTATATTGTTAAATGTGAACTTGTACGACGTCGTTAAACTAATGAATAACGTAACAGCCTATACATGTCCCACTGCTGGGCAAAGGCCTCCACAGTACAGAGTGTATTACGGCACAGTCCACCACGCAACCCCAATGCGGATTGGCGGATTATATCCCCATATCTTCGAAATATTTTTTTTGTTATCATTTCGTAAATATGCAGGTTTCCTCACGACGTTTTCCTCTTTTTGAAGTTATCCTACTTCTTTTGGCGCGTTAGGGAAAAATTATGAGGGTAAATTTTACGATGCGCGCGCACACCGTCACGAAAAACCGACACCCTGAAGTTAGCCAGATATCTACGTATATTTGCGTGAGAACTGACAACTGTATTCACGATATTTATTTTGTGATATTTAAATAAACATTATTTAACTTGATAATGCGTTATAATAAAACTTTCAATATATTTAATATCTTTTTTCCTTGAATGCCTCAGATTTTAACTCAGTTTTGCTCGAGTGTAGAAAATTTAAAGCGAGCGTCCGGACATTGAGCTCTTACGATATTGTATCGATCGCGTCTGCCGTTGCCATCACGATTGCTATACGATGAGTGTTATGTATTGGACGTCTGTCCCGCTGCATCCCCCTCGCACCCACCCCCTTCGTAGGTGGGAGCGAGACGGGCGCATTATCCGTTTCACCATTCACAGGGGCGAGTCCCTGTAGATTGCGATTCGGTCCTTTGTCTGGCCCGTCGAAAATGCGACGCGGACTATGAAAGCTTCGAGGGGTCCCGACTCCCAAATCACTTGGGATAGTTTGCAGACCGCTTCCGTTGAGCTAGGGGACTCTTTCGATAGATGCTGGATAAATGCGCTTAGCACTAACCTAGACCTAGGGTCGGCCGATGGGATGCCAAGACTGCCAGAATGCGAGCAGCTCTAGTTTGTCGGATGACGGTATTGGATGGCCAACTTGAGATTCGCGCGTCTTTCTGGCCTCTTCTAGCGTTAACAGGAGACTAGTTTTAACTCCTACTAATGAGCTAGAAGAAGTTAACGTTCTAGGAGTCTTCACTCCTACTGAAGCCAGAAGGAACCTGAGAGAATTACCTATTCTCCACGTTTTATTATTTCAAGGAATAGAGTATACATGCGTAACCGGAAAGCTCCGCACTGTAATCTGTTCATGTTCTGCACTGTAATCAGTCATGTCATTCTTGGTATATGATGAAATTAAAATAAAATTTTAACAAGGTTAAAAATAAAAATATTTTGACTTCACAAATAAGAAAAAAATTCACGAACAATGTAAAATACTAATTGAAATGAATTGTTAAATACTTACTAAATATAATAAGCCCTATATTTGAATTTATATACCTTTAATTCCGAAAGTATCATAAGAATACGAAGGCAATTCATGTAACATAATCTTTCTCACACTCTCCAAAGCTTCATTAGTCAATAATGTGTTGTTTTAAGCAATTATGTTAAATTTTAATATTTTGCTGATTTTAATGCATTACATTTAGTTTTTCGTTGTAAACTTTTTGCAAAATGCTCGGTGGCCGAAAATAAAATTTAACGCGATGGAACTCGTAAACATTTTTTTTGTTTCATTTAAGGCGCTGTATGCAGTAAAAATTGGTTTTTCAAAAGATTTTTTATCAAAATCTACACATTTTAAAGCAGCAAAAAAAATTAATATCAGTGGTGTAGAATATATTAATAAAAAGGACTGGTGTCTTAATTTTTTGATTGAAGTAAGATATTTGTAAATATTAATTTAATTCATTAAAATTAATTCGAACGCGATGGCCAAAACACGGCGCCACCGCGGCGTTGTTTCGGCTCTCTTCCAACTCCACACGTTGAATAGAGAGCGCTGAGGCGCCTTGCTAGATGGACTTATGCCGCTCATTGCCCGCACGAAATATGCCACCGTTACGAAATATGTTTCGTATTTATTTATTATTGACAGTTTTAATATTATTAGAGCTTCCCAAACACGAAACTAAAAAATATATATTCACATATTTCGTATTGATAAATTATATGTATGTATTAACAGTTGTTAATTAATTTATTTAAAACGTAATTTCAATGTCTTATCTCGTGATTGGTCTATCAGTCCTATACATACAGTGTAGGAAGTGGACCATCATTCTTTATGGATTTGGTTCAAATCCCTAAATTTTTTGTTGTACTTATTGTTAATTTTCTTATTTGGAAATATATCTTAATTACCATTTAATTTTTGTTCATTTTTATTTTCATAAATAACTACAACGAAATATTATTTTATTTGTTCAAAGTTGAAACAGTTGGAGAACAATCTATCAGTAAATAAACCAACTATTAGTATTAAAATTTTTTAACGTCATCTATTTTTTTATTAAAATATTTAATTTTTTACCCTAAAACGAAAATTTATCTTATACACGAAAAATAATTGTTTTATAATTTTTCTTATTAATTTGTTTATTTCTCAAATTGAGCAATTTTATAAAATAAAAACAAAATAATTTGTTGGCTAACAAATTAAAAGTGAAAATAATATAAAAAATACAACTCCACTCGATGAGTGGTTTGAACTTGAGACTACAGCAATAGTTTACCGTTGTGAACGCTCGGACCAACAGGCTAAGCGAAGCTGTGGAAAGTGACAAAATTTCGATTCTTGTTATAATTGCTGTCGTTTATCGATACAAATAAAGATTTTATCGATAGTTTTTTAAATTTCATTTTAGTTGAGATAGTAATATAACATAGTAAATCTTGAACATTTAAAGGATAAATTAAAATTCCTAATATATAAAAAAATGTAATAAAAAAGTTGTATTCGTAATTTCTGCAAAAATTTTATGAGCCATTTCTTTAAAATAACAATATACACCATGAAAACCAAAAATAATAATTATAAGTAATTTGCCTTTATTAATTTAAAATGTATTTTTAATCAATTCTTTTTCCATTTAATTAAAAAAATAATAATAAACAGGAAGAAGATTTTCTAAAATTGTTGATTCCTTTCTCATACTTT